TAAATCTAGACAAACACAATGTGCGTAAGCTGATAACACACAAACAATTCTAATGTCTCCTGTCTTTCTTGAACACACCCATTAAACATTTACATTGCTGGAGGAAAAAGTAAACCCTTGGACTTAAAGGATAAGTTCTCCTTTTGACCAAAGCTAATGTGCATTTATTATTTTTTGTTGCAGGAGCCTGCAAAGCATTGCCATGCAGGTCTCCTGCAGACCTGTCAGTATATCTGCTTGCCCGTACAGGATGTTCATTCTGTGGTTTTGGTTGTGATTAGCTGTGATTTGGCCGCAGCTAATCACATGACACAGATGGACTGTGATTGTTCTATTCTGTACCATGTGATCACTGTGACCATTCACAGCTAGCAACACAATTGTATACAATGGATGGCATGAAAGGAAGCCATCCATTATTTACAGTTGTCATGTGACATGCTGTGATTGGTCACATGGTACCGGCAACAGGCCAGTACACAAATCCGTCATCAGCGCAGACGCGATCTGGGAGGACATCATTACGCCCTCACTCGGATCGAAGAAAATACAGTCTGGCGTCAATTTGCTATTGGCTGAGTGGAAACACAGTTAAAAATGACAGCTTGTACGGGAAACGTCTCCCCGTAACACTGTCTCAAGGAGGTGTGTGTGTGGGGGAGGGGGGAGAGAATCAGGAGGTGGCTGCAGCAGTGGGGACATGTTACATGTTCCACCCTAAAAATGGGTGGAACATGTAATATGTTCCCAAAGATGAACTTCTCCTTTAATAGCTGGTTGAACCCCCTTTAGCAACAATGACCCCCTTTTGCAGCAAGTTTTTTCAGTTGCTCTGGATCAGACCTGCACTGTGTTCAGGAAGACTGCTTCAGCTCAGACACATTTGTAGGATGTCTGGTGTGCATGGCTCTTTTGAGGTCATTCAACAGCATCTCTCTGGGGCTAAGGTCTGGATTCTGACTGGGCCACTCCAAAAGTCGAATATTTTCTTTTTTTGAAGCCAGTCTGTGGAGGGATTTACTTTGCTGCTTAGGTGATGCAGTAGGCCAATGACCCTAACTTGTTTTTCTGTTTTTTTTTTTTTTTTTTTTTTTTTTAAAGAGCATTGGCTTCCTCCATGGTGTTTTGCTATGGATACCCTGTCTGTTCAAAGACATGCATATGATAGACTCATGAACATGAATGTTTGTCAATTCCAGTGATGTCTTCAAGACTTTAGCTGTTATTTGTGCGTGCTTCTGTGCCTCATTGAGGATTCTGCATTGTGCCTTGGGAGTCATCTTTGTTGGACACCCACCTCTAGATAAAGTAGCCTCAGTACTAAACTGTCTCCATTTTTAGACAATTTGTCTGTCGACTGATGGATGTCTAAACACTTTGAGATTTCTTTGTATCTCTTTCCAGGCTTATGCAGATCAAATAATGTTGATCGTATATCTTCAGAGAGCTCCTTTGTTGCAAGGCATGGTTCACATCAGCTGATGTTTCTTATGAACAGCAATCTTAAATTGGTTCACATACTTTTTCTAGCCATTGTATATGAACATTATTTTTCTATGCACACATAATGGCATATATACAGAATGTATTGGCTCTGTGCTTACTTTACTGAGGGTTAAATCTCTTTTCAGGCCAGAGTTGGCTTGTGCTTCTAGTGGGTATGACTGAGTGCCTTTTAAATTAGAAATGAAAGCCAAGCTTCTTTTTTCAGTTTTTATATAAAGCAGAGAGGTCTTGAAATGTCTGTCAGGCTTTTATTGTTGTCTTTGTCCTCTCTAGGGAGATCTACCTTTGCTAATTTGTCCTGGTGACTCTGGAAGTAAAAGAAACTCCCAAATTGAGTGGTCACCAGAACAGGAATATATGGGAAATCTTGCAACTGGACACTAACTCTGGAGACAACTAGAGATTTCCTTCACTTTTGAGGGATCTTTTTTTCCACTTTTGAGGGATTTCCTCCCCAGCACTGATGGCAAAAAAAAGGCTGCAAAGAGGAGAGCAGATTGCTTGCCTAACTTCTGCATAGCTTTCCCATATTTTGTTGCTAGATAACGGTCTACTAAATATATCATTGACAGGTCTGCTTTTGGACTGTTAAACATACAATTGAAACATTTTGTTGTATCTTTTTCAATAATTGCACAAAAGCCTGTTAATTGTGCCAGCAATATTGTGGATAATTCTTGTGCACTCTGCCTCTCTGCAGACTGATATCAGTTGGCATTATTCTCAAGCCTGTCTGTGGACTACAGAACATCTTCCTCCTATTTTATGGAAAAGAGAAGGATGTGTCCAGCAGTTCTAGTACACGTCTGTCTCAGGAGATCAATGCTGCTGCTCCTCAGATACAGTATCATGAGTAAGCAGTGTTACCCTAAAAGGCATTGCTACTGGCAGAGGATCATCTGGTAAAGTAAATGCACTGCAGTAAATGTTCTTGGGATTAGAACTACATTAGTATTTCCAGGAAACTTGCAACACTTACATATTTGTTTTGGCTGTTGATTTTTAAAGGATAAGTTCACCTTTTAACAAAAACATTTTTTGCAGGTAAAACAATGTGCATTTATCTTGTTTGTGGATATCGGAACCCAGCCTTTTGTATGTTCTCCCTGTGCCTGCGTGGGTTTCCTGCAGGTATTCCGGTTTCCTCCCACACTCCAAAAACATGCTGATAGGTTAATTGGATCCTGTCTAAATTGGCCCTAGTATGTGTATGTATGAATGTAAGTTAGGGAAATTAGACTGTACGCCCCTTGAGGGTTAGGGACTGATGTGAATGTACAATATTATATGTAAAGTGCTGCATAAATTAACAGTGCTATATAAGTAGCAGTACAGCAGCAGCTTGCACTTTACCCATTCACAGAATAATGTGAATGAGTGATGCAGCCGGGTAGGCGGAGCCTTGCACGGCCTTAATGTAAAGCAAAATTGGGACAGCGAGGGGGGAGAAGGTCCCCAGCTAGCTGTCACAACAGGGATTAGGGTGGGTGCGGGGGGCCGGTCCGATCGTTACATGTTTCACCATGAATATGGGTGTAACATGTTTCAAAAGGTCAACTTATCCTTTAAAGTAGACCAGTGGCCTCCCAATACGTACAAATTTACATTTAATTTTAAATGTACCTGCGCTGAGTTTTCTCTTCTTCCGACTGCAAAGTTCCACATATATCTGTTGATCTTGCCAGTGTAGTCTGCCTTTTGTGATGGTGTGGCAACAATGCTGCACTGCTTCTGATTTCAGAGCAGAGTTGACACTCATGAAGTGTGTGCCTGCTTTTACTACAGTAGGATTGAAAAAAATATTGCAGAGCACTTGGCTATCAGCATTGTCCCTCTTGACAAGCCTGTAGCTTGTCATTTAGCACCTAGCCACACCTAGTCTGTCCACTGTTTTTTCGATAGGCAATACCTGCTGTTGCTGAAACCCTCCCACTATGATCTGTAGTGTCTGGGAGGGGGAGAATCTGTGTCTAAAAAAATGAAGGAAAATTTGTCTCTGAAGGTGAAGACATTATTTTTGATTACTTTGAGGCTTGTGCACCACTGGATTTGCTACTTGTTCAGCCTGTCATGCAGTTCTTTAAGGACTTGTTCACACCGTGTGCAGGGATCTGGTCCATGTTGGATCAATGTGGGTCACTGCAAGGGCACATAGAAAACAAAGTTTTGCTATGTGCCCTATTCACACCACAGTGTTGTGTACATTGCATTGTAATGCAACCTAACCTGTCTACGTTTTAACACAACGCATGTAAAGGCAATGCAACTGAAAGTAAAAATATAAAAAAATGCTAGTATTTTGACCCTTCCAGGGACCTGTCACTTTACATGAAAACACATGAATATGCATGTCAAATGCACACCAGCTCACATGCATTTTTAATGAGTTTGTATGTAAAACATGGTATGAAAAAGACCCTAGCAACAAAATAAAGTAGTTAGCTGTTCTGTAAATTTGGCACCAGTTGAATACTCATCCTTTTAGCTTTGCCCTTCAAAGTGTGGGTGCCCTGTGAATGACATATATTCAATGTTCTTTCTAGCTCTATGTAAATAATTTGAAATAGAAAAATGCAGTTATGAGCTTGGCTGCAGTAATGAAATCTTTGTTTACTTTGAGTCATACTTGTATGTTGTGTGTGAATATTAATATGTGAGGTTTGTGAAAGCATTTGCAGGGTTGTTTCAAAATGCAGTGTCAGTCATGACACACCCTTCTGTTTTAGTTCCATTCCGATCCTTGCAAGACTTTCTCATGTCTGAATGATATTTGCCTTGCAGCTAAATTTATTTCTGCCCTGTTTAAGACATTACAAAGTTGTAATTTAAATGCCTAAATTATTTTGACACAAACTTTCAGTGCATAATGTCCAGAAAGAATCTAAACATATAGAAATCTAGCCAAAGAGAAGAGCTAGTTGTTTTCTTGTATTGGTTCCTTTTTGTAAACTGTACACTTTGGTTTAATTTTTTTTTGCCATGGATGCTAATGTGTGGACTTTTGGAGGAATTAGATGGTTAAGGCTCCATACACACTGCCCCGACTTGGAATCAGACCTGAGACCCCAAGTCGCATGACGTGAAATCCCATGTTAGTCAATGACAGCTGTCCTTATTAGCACTACTGAAGTCGCTCTGACTTCAAAGGTTCCTGTACTACTTTAAGGCGACTTCTATCTGACTTGTGCCCATAGACTTTAATGGAAGTTGTCTCCAAGTTGGGTGCTCATCTATATTGATGTGATTTGGATCTGACATTACAGGAAGATTACCCAGGCAAAGTTGCATGGCATGAAAGTCGTTCATCAAGTCATCAGAAAGTCACTCTGTAAAACGTGCAACTTTCTGGTCGTAATAGTGTGAAGAAAGCCTTTTTTTTTTTTTTTTTTTTTTTTTTTTTTTTTTTTTAACCTCCTTAAATTGTTATGAAATGGTTTCCAAAAGATATTTGTTTTGACTATAATTGTTTTTTGTTTTAATTTTCTGGTTGTCAGGTCATCCCAGCCAGAGGGAAATCGTCATTCACAGTTGTTTTTCTGCCAGATGAAGAAGGAAGTTTTGAGGGCTCTTTATTTATAAATACTACTACAAATGGGATTCTGTCCTATCAGGTGAGCTAAACTTTTTAATGCTGGCAATATTCTGTTTTCCAAGGTCCTTGAAAACCTTTTGATATTTTGATGTGTTTACTAAGAGCATAAATAACTTTATGTAAGCTATTGAAACGTTTTCTATTCCTATTTATTAACACTTGGTGTAAAATAAAGGCTAGGGTTGCTCAGGCAATCTTTCACTTGCATTGCTGTTATTGTGGCCATTGGGTTGAGAGTGCTTCTGACTTTGAAGTGTTAGCTGTTGCATGTGAAAATTTTCCTGTCTGCTAAAAAAAAATTCAAAATAACTTGGTGTGTGCGGTCTGATCCTTCCTTCAAGGGCGGGCAAATTTCTTCCATCTTGACTATATAGGTCAGAGGACTGGACTGAGCCTGGGTTCACATATGTGCGTTGCGGTATATTGCATGTGACTCACACAGGAACCGCACCGCATTCCTGTGCAAATCACATGCGATTTGTGTTTGGTGCGATTGCAGCCATATATTTCTGTTCGCACTGCACCCGTACCAAAAATGTGCAAGACCCTTTGTGGGTCTGCACTAGAATCAGATCACATAGGTATTCACATCTATGCGATCTGATTCTACACCGCGTTTTGTGGACCACTTTTGGGGTGTTAACATACACACCCACAGCGGTTCGCATGAACAGGGTGCAATTCTGATGCGGTGTGGAATTCGCACTGAAAACACTGTGAATGCCGCACCTCATCAGTGTGAACCAGGGCTTAATGTGAAATCCTAGTTTAGATACACTACATTCCCTAACAATTTTTATTCTAAATAGCCTTGTTCTGTTATAGGTCTTTGGTCACGGGGTACTTCCTGCTGTCTCCGATGACTCGAAGTACTTTCATCAAAACACAGAAGTCATGTTTCCACGGATTGCAAATATCCACCTTTCACAATCACAGGTATGCATTTTCCTGATTTAGGTTTAGTAACTAAAAAAAAAGTTTATTAAAAATCAGCTGAACTTTGACCTTAATCTTCATAATTACACTACTGTACTTCTCAAAATGATGGTACCTACCTGTCAAATGTTTGTATTCTCTGGGAAAGACAAGGTGTGCAGTGCTAGAGAAGGGAAATTATGGAGGTATATTATTCTATTGCTAATTTGCAGTCTGTGGTTAGTTAAGCCCCTTGCAACCAACTGAACACATATATGTGGCCTCTCTAAAGTGGGTCAATTTCCATGAGGCTGCATATATGCTTACGAGTGTTTGTGCTGTGAGCATGTTGCACAGCGATTGGGCTCTCACCAAGAGACACCGATCTCATACTAATGATCAGGAACTAGATGTTCTGATTCCAATCCACCTGTGGATAAGTCACTATATAGTCTGCCCCTTGTTTTCTCCTTGTTTCTCTGTTCTAGAGGAGAAAACACACTCTCCGTTCTAGGGGAGAGAGAAAAAGATCCTTGCTAGAGAAGAAAAATGTAAACAAAAGTCTGTTTCAGTGTGTTTTTAGGTAGGATAAAAAAAAGCAAAATGCACAGCATTGTTTCTGGACCCTTTTTACAGGTACAGACAATAAATAACATACTCATATGGGGTATTGCTGTGATTGTCAGGAGCATGGGAGTTTATTTTGGGTTGTTCTTTGGCAGTAGGTTATGGTAATAGCAAGAAATATATAGCTACATTTTAATAAATATTTTTGTTACTTTTTTTTTTTGGCCAGTTTTCTTTTGACACTTCAAAGTTGTAAAATTGTGTTCAGGCATTAGGACTTGTTTTAACCCCTCATGAAGGAGCTAAAAAAAAAAAAAAAAAAGCCCCTGCACCTGTTAGCTTTTCATGGGAATACAGATTGACCTGGGAGTTCCACCCAGCTGGAAGAACTGTTGAGCACATGTATTTGCCATTTCTTTTTCATTTGAACCCAGTCTAATATATTGGAAACATCAACATTAGTGTCCCAAAGGGTTTTAGGGACCTTATGAAATCATTTTAAACATATCCCTATTCACATTGCTTGTTAAATTTTTAAAATGTATGTGTTACCCTACACTCTTCACGAAGAGCCAGGTGCATGACGGTACAGCTCTGTCTATAGCTTTTATTGAAATGGTTGTATTTCCTAAAGCTATTCATTTTCAGCCAAAGCATGTACAAGAGTTAGCGGCACAGATATATAGTGTATCAATATTTAGACCTTTTGGGAATATGTCTTTTGTACGGTTCGTTTGAGACAAAATATATATATATATATTTATTTTTTTACTACAACATATCACTTGTTAAATTTAAAAGATGACTACCTTTTTTTTTTACACACATTCTAATGTAGGCAGAAGCCATAAACTCCAGTGTATGGCAGGTTCGTCTGAAGTGCAGCATTCCCCTTCAATGGCATCAGCATTGCAGGGTAGGTGACATCCAGCCAGAGGGTGTTTTTATGTTGCCCACACATTTGCTTGTCTTCTGACCTCTGGACCTTTTTCTTTTGTGACTTCTAGAGTTGCTTCCTGTCTGGGCACTCTCTGCTGCTGCAGGTCTACTTTGCTGTCAGATTGGATGGAGGCCAGCATGACTTGGAGACCCTCAGGAAATACGTACTAGAGAACATTTTTATGATCTTTGTAACATCTGACCAAAATGGTGAGGCACTGTGAAATAAGCGATTTGGTTCTTGTGTGTACTATAGCCTGTTAAAGGGTTATTTTTTCCAAGTGCCATTTCAGTTATAAGAAGTCTGGTTTGTTGTCAGCCCAGCATTTGTAGTAACAAGGCTTGGAAGCTGCTGCAGTTTACTGTAATGTGAAAAAAAAGCTGTAGGCACTTTTAAAAAATGCTGTAAAGCAAGGGTGCTTTCAAAAAGAATGAGGTTAAAGCTGGAATTTACTTAAAAATAATTTTTTTCCATGCAGCTTTAGTGGCCTAACTTGCCAGTAATAAAGTATGTCTGACATCATGCAGGCTGCTAGATCATGTAGAAAATTTCTGCAGGGTGCTCAGTCCTCTCTGTTAAACTTCAGGCATTGCAGGAGTTTATAGGTTGGGGTCTCTGGGTTCAGCACAACAGAAGAGGCTCCCAGTGGGGCCATGTCCCCTCCTCCCCTCTCATCCATGGAAAAAAAAAGACCTGTGCATTGTGTACACTTCATATAACGTGATCTCTGAACGAGGGAGAGATGGATAAATATGATTATTCTCTCCCTCATTCTGAGATTGTGATGATGTGTACACTATGCATGGACTTCTCGAATGAGAGGGGAGGAGATCTGAAACTGTTAACCCCCATAATCTCAGAAGTTCAATGTCAGGAAGAGGACCAGGCACCTGCACAGAATATTTTTGAAGAATCCAGCAGCCTGCTCGAAATGGGACATACTTCATTACAGGTAAGATAAGTCACTAGAGATGTAAAGGAAACAACAATCTTTAGGTAAACTTCAACTTTAAAGTTGTAAGTTTGATGTGGTGTGGTTTATAGTGCTTGCCTCTTCATTTTTTTGTGAAAAAAGGCCAGCTTACAGTTTAAAGTCTTACCAAAAAAAAAAAAAAAATCACATTGCCACATAAACATGTAAGCTTGTTTAACTATCTGTTTTCGCTGTCCTGTATGAAGCACAGGATGCTAGTGGTGGCTTCTATACCTAGCGCTTTTTGTGGAACCACTGCTGCATATGCTCCCCTTGGCTGTATGCTTGGGGTAATTGTTCCTTTTGCAGAATGAATTTGGAACCAAGCAGATGTCTCCCTGATGGCATTTCATGATGGATAAGTATCTGCCTTTACTTCTAAGCAGAAACATGAGGAGATCATTAATTCTAACCAGAGCTCCACTTCCATGTGCAGAAATGCAGCTCAAACCTGCAAGAAACAATGCCACACTGTTGCATACAAACAGTTGTCCTCATGCTTGCTAGGCCGCTAGACTTGCTAGTCCTTCGGCAAACAAACTGCCTTTTGTTACAGCCAAGTATTTCAAATTTTAACTCCTCTGTCCAAAACACCTGTCATTTTTCTGCAAAACAATTCTTGTCTCTTGGCCTTGTTCCACATTGGAGGTATGGCTTTTTAACTGCAAATCATTCATGAAGACCACTTTGGACTATAGATGGATGTACCAGACTCCCAATGGTTTGTGCCATGTCTAAGCAGATGTTATTACTGGACATCTTCTTATTGGAAGCTGAAGTCCCAGATTTTTGTGTTGGCCGACCGCTGCATTTTCGGCCCTCAACATTGCCTGTTTCTTTGTGCTTTTGTAGAAGAGTTTGCACAGCACTTCACACTTTTTTTTTTTTTTCCTTTGAATTTCTTCCTTGGAGAGATACAGTGTTACCATTTTGTGTCTTGTGGTTGTGCTCAGAATTCCATTGTGTAAAAAATTTTTGTATATTGAATGGTCTCCAGTGACCTAAAATTGTTAGTGGCGCGTGACAACTGATTCTGTTTAATGGTTACATTTTAAACTACATGTTATCTTGTTGATCATTAGTTTGGTATACATATGGTCATGCTTTGGACCATATGTTTGCAAAATCCTTACCTGTATACCTGGGGAAAATTGACACGGTTTTAAAGGCATAGGGTATACACACCAAATATTGATTTGATTTAGGTTTTTTCTATTTATGCACCTTGTGGGTTGTTTGATAAAATCATCCTTTTGCTGTATGTATAGGTACTGCTCCGTACTTGCACATTTTACCTGGTAGCAGTTTTTTTCTTTACTTTTTAGGTGACAGCATTACTTTAGTTAGTTTACCTTTATCAAAAAACTGCCTGTGCACATAAGGGATGTCAATAGATGAAAAACAAGCTGTGCCACTTTGACCGAAAGCATCACCCTTGCTATAGGAGAAGGCTTTTACTTCGTAAATCCCTGACCAGAACATTTTCAGGATGTTGCTAGGACATTGCTAAGCAAGGCCCGGCCATTACTGCCCACCTTCACCATCAAAGGAGCAAGCTCTTTCTATGATTCAAACTTCCTCATGTGAGCTTTCTCTCCCCTGATGCAGTAGCTCTGAACTTAGTTTGAGAGCCCACTCCTGCGAAGGTGTACAGTATTATTATTATACAGGATTTATATAGCGCCAACAGTTTGCTCAGCGCTTTACAAAATAATGGGAGACAATACAGTAACAATACAGTTCAATACAAGAGGGATAGGAGGGCCCTGCTGCTTGGAGCTTACAATCTAGGAGGGAGGGGCTAGTGGTACAAAAGGTAGTAACTGTGGGGGATGGGCTGGTTGGAAGAGTAGAAGATTCCAGTATTAGCTGATGGCAGGATAGGCTTCCATGAAGAGAGAGGTTTTCAGAGATCGCCTAAAGGTGAGCAGAGTAGGTGATAGTCTGATAAATTGGGGTAGAGAGTTCGAGGATGGGGGAAGCTCTGGAGACGAGCATGGGAGGAGGAGACAAGGGAGCTAGAGAGTAGGAGGAGGTCTTGCGAGGAGCGGAGAGTACAGTAATAGCTAGTCCTCATTTAGCAATGTCCTGGGAGTTTTCAGGTCAGGCTTCTTGAGGTATTTAAATGGCCTACAGTGCACCTATAGCAAGGGCTATAGGTGTCAAAGCTGCACAGTTTGTTTTTATCAGCAGACTCCCTTTATCTGCATAGACAGTTTTTTGGTAAAGATGAACTGACCCTTTACATTTTTAAAAACTTATCACTTGAGGAGTCTGAGGGGTAAAAAATGTCTCCAACTTTACCAACAACAAAATAAATCAGTTTTGGTGGACTAGAAACAAGATATACCTGTGCTCAAATCCCAATAGTGTTTACATGCATGTATCTATCAGGTGCTAAAGGGGTGTAACCACATATTAACACTAGAAATCCTAGAGGAACCTTCTGCACACTAATTACCCACAGTAGCATTTGCGCTGGCATAACAGAGTAGGACTGGCCATACAGGGATTACTTTGACATAGTTTTCTAGCTTAAACATGTATTGTAATATGTGTGAACTAAAAATCCCTATCTTTTTTTTATCGCAACGTTTGCTGGAAAGGGTAGTTAGCAGTGCGAAGAAGGTTCCTCCAGAATTTCTAGTGTTAATATGTGGTTACTCCCCTTTAGCACCTGATAGATAAATGCATGTACAAGCTATTGGGATTTGAGCACAGGTTTATCTTGTTTCTGTTGCATAGCAGGTCAGTAGCCAGACCTGAACCTAGTAGCTCTCCTCCATTTTGTGTCTGTTTGCCCCAGGTTTGCACTGTGTCCACAGAAGCATTTGCGTTGGCAGAGCAGATTAGGACTGGCTATAGAGGGATTACTGGAAAGAGTAATTTGCAGTGTGCAGAGAGTTCCTCCAGGATTTCTAGTTTTGGTGGACTTCAATAAATAGAAATTGCTGAATGTAGATGTAAAAATGTTGTCATTTTTAATGTTTGTTTAAATGACAATGCCATCCATTCTTTTATACAGATGATTCAATGGTTATGTATGTATTAAATTCTGGGAGTGGCCTGGTTCACATGCAGGTAATTGCATTTAATTTTCTATTGGTAATTAAAGTGTATGTATAACCTGAACTTTTATCTTGATCATACAGTACAGAACAGGCTGAGTATTCATAGACCCTGGATTATAGACTCATACCTTCTTGATTAGACATTAGCAAAGCTTTTGAGAAAATGCCACCTGGGTGTCTTCCCTATAACCCTACCCCACTCTGATAGTCGCTTTTTTGCTAGTGCCCTAACATGATGGATTTCTTCTTTCTTATAGAGAAATCACTCTTAGCTGAAAGAGGAGCTCCAGTCCCCCCCCCCCCCCCCCCCCAAAAAAAAAACAAAAACATTTTTAATATAGAGCCACATACCTGTTCAGCGCTGTCCTCGCCTGAGCCGACTTTACAATCGGCTTGGGTCCAGGCATTGGCATCTTACGTAAGGGAACTTATTTGTCCACTGCCCATTCATGATCCTTGCTACGCTTTGTGATTGGCCCCGCAATCTTCTGAGACTTGTAATGTGTCTCAGAAGGCTACGGGGAAGGGGGGGAGGTGCGGGGAGAGATTGGCTAACTTCCACTCGCCTTGGGCGATCCCACCAGAAGTTGTAGTGGGTATTTATCAAAACCAGGTACCCTCTCCACCAAAAAATGTTGATGGAAGTGGGGGGATGCAAACAAGCGGAATTTCCTCTTTTGGCTGAAGTTCCACTTTAATGAAGTTGTTTTCTCTTTGCTGTCTTTTAATACAGCAATAGAAGCAGTTCATACAGATTCGGTGCAACCTTGGTAAACCTTGAGAGCTGCACCCTGACCTCCCACCATGAGAATGACCTATAATATTGCTTTGGGCACTAAATCCTACATAGCGTATGGGTAATTAAAGTGTATATCCAGAACTTTTTTTTTTTTTTTTAACCTTTGGATACAATAGAGAAGGATTAAAACCCTTGCCAGTGTGTTGTTGTGGGTTTTTTTTTTTTTTTTTTCTTTAATTATGGTCTCTGATTTAGTGGCAAAGGTAGAGCTTTAAGGTCTCACTCAAGTTGCCAACTTGTTTGAGAGCGTTTCTGACCACTTTTCACCACTGTAACCAGGCATTAACTAGATCTTTCCTCAGTGACAACACCATCCGATTACATTTTTCCTCCCCTGCCTTTCACTGCAGGTGTAAGGTTCTTCAACTTGGTTCACTTCCACAAATCACCCCCCCAAATCCAGGCACATCATTTCTCTAAGGACTGTTCTAGCAGTCTCAATGATGGAAAGAAAGTCTTCCCAGCCACTGCTGTAAGCATTGCCAATTTCATTTTAGAGCGCTGGAGTAGTGACAACTCTTTTGGACTTGCCATTTCACTGGAAACAGCAGGCACATGTATAATCTTGCCACCCCCTACAGCCTTTAGTGGGGCTCTTCCACAGTTGCAAGGGGTGACTGAAGACATAGTTTCTATGGAAACTTGGCAGGGCAGAGCTCTGAAGTTGCGTTGCAATGTACCCAGGGATAGGAGATACTTATCGACAGCCTGTCCCTACTCGTTGCACCACCAGCTACCACTACTTGCTTTCCTATTTGGTTAGAGCTTTTATCTCCTGATGATGCACTCCTAATTACTAGGGGAAGTGAGTTTTACTTCTCTAAGGCTTCCTTCTCAAAAACTAATATCCCTTTTAAACTTGTCATAGTCATTGCAGCCTCAACCCAGAAGTTAACAAAACATTAACAGAAGGGGCTGTAATAATTCAGACCACAACAGTCTTAAAGGCAGTAAGACATTCACATCATTAAGAGGAGTATTTGTTTCAAAAAGTCAGCAGGTCTGTTATGGGAAATGGCGCTCATGCTTCTGGACAGCCACCGGCTCTTCTAGTGCAGAACTGTCTTTCCTTTCTCTATACCGGGGGTCACCACTGGCAAATGATGTTTTCACCAGCTTTGGCAGACTCCCAAACTGGCGAAATCTGTTTGGGAACCTGTGGGGCTTGCCCAACTGGTGAAATTCTCTCCATCCACAGAATGCCCTTTCATTTTAGTACATTTCTTTTTTTATGTCCTATATTACATGCAAACTTTGTTCAACTTTCAGGGCCTATTCACACCAGAAGCTGTGCATTTACTTCATGTTTTTTGCATGCATTTTATGCTCGTTTACATGAAGTTGATGCTGCACTTTGATTCACTGTGGTGAGTTTGTATGCTGCTTTTACATGGGTTTTTGCAAGTTTTTGAGCATTTATATGTAGCAAGCTTCAATTTGTAAGCACTGAAAATGCTCAAAAAAAAAAACTATATTATATATATATATATATATATATATTATATATATACATACATACATACATACATTTATTTTTTTTCTCTGAACTGTGATGGTGTGAACTATGTCCATAGGATAACCTGTACTTTGGGTTGCCTTGTTCAGTGGAAATGCAGTCAAATGCCAGCAAGATGGTGCACTGTCCCTTGGTGTCTCTTTTAAATTAACCCTTGCATAGCCTGTACAGGCAACATGTTGTGTCTTCAGATGGCTCCTTTAACCACTTCTGTATGTCGCTGGAATTTTGGTGGTTATAATGGAGTGATGCCTGCAGGCATCAGCCTGGTACCATTTTTTTTTTTTTTTTTTTTTTTTTACAGCCGACAGTCAGCTCTCTAGTAAAACCGTACTGCGGCTCTCTCAGGACCTCTGGTCCCACTAGGAGTCCCAAGCAAACAGCCGACACGTCTGCCAGCTTTGATCGGGTCTCCCTTATAGTAAACTGGAGCGATGACCTGACATCACTTTTTCCCCCCCCCCCCCCCCCCCCCCCCCCCCCCCCCCGTTTACTTGGAAACATTCGGTGCCATTTTAAAAAATCTGAAAGCATTCAGAAACACAGATCTTGGTGTTTTGAATGTTTCCTAGTGCAGAGGAGTACCTGTCACACCTATTGCTATCAAAAATTGTGTTTTCATTCCTTGTGCCAGCAATAAAGGTGATTAAACCCCTCCATCCCAGCTTGGGCTGTTTCAGGCATTCTGCTTCTGGTAGTACTGTCTGTCTCTCTCTTTTATGTTACCATTGAGTTGTAGACCTTTTGTTTTGTTAGTGTTGATAATGGACACTGTACATGCACAAAACCTATATTGTGTTCTCTCTCTGCAGGATGTCCATCATTTTTTAGGTGATGCACTTTCTATCCAGTTTGAGCCTGTGATGCTTTTGAGCTCTTCCATAAGTTTCACGAAAGCAGCGACCATTGTTTGCTCAGGTACTGTAGCAAGTTTTAGATTTTTTTTTCCCTTTCAAATTTTTAAGTGCAACTCAACTGGCAAACCGCAAAATACACAATTCAAATGTATGGTTTTTTGTACTGTTTTTTACCCACCAAACCTTTGTAATGTTTGATCAGCAAGGCTTGTTACACACACACACACATATCTGCTAGTCAAAATGGACACTTTGCTACTTCTGGTTTATAGTTGCCATTAATAGGTCCACTTTGCAGCTTCCTGAGCCAGTTTCTCCTGCTGGACAAAGTTGATGATTCTGACTTTTTTTTTTTTTTTAGCAATAATCAGGTAGCAGGAGATGGGTGACCTATTAAGCTTGAACTGCAAAAGAAGGAACCAGATGACCTGGAGGGGCTCTGAAAAATTCTGTTTACCCTGCTGCCACTAAGGTTGTGGCCAAGCAACCAAATTTGCTTGTGCAAGGGCATTGGATCAATACCCCTGGCTCTGACATGTCCCTTCTGCTTTGCCTGTAGACTGAAAGTAGAAGGAACTCCTTACTGAACTGGAAGGAAATTTGAGTATTTCGGTGCTCTTTGTAGCTTTCACTAAACTTACATTAGGGATCAGTCCGAATTTAGGTTTGATTCCAAATGGATCTGCCTTTTAAGTTTCAATGATTATACAATGTTTTAGCTTTCGCTAAACTTGCATTAGGGAACAGTCCGACTTTAGGTTGGATTCCAAATGGATCTGCCTTTCAAGTTTCAATGATTATACAATGTTTTAGCTTTCGCTAAACTTGCATTAGGGAACAGTCCGACTTTAGGTTGGATTCCAAATGGATCTGCCTTTCAAGTTTCAATGATTATACAATGTTTTAGCTTTTGCTAAACTTACATTAGGGATCAATCCGACTTTAGGTTGGTTTGCAAATGGATCTGCCTTTCAAGTTACAATGATTATATCCCCCCCCCCCCCGGTTATTTCTACTAAATGTAGCATGTTTACTATTTGCAGTGCATGACGTGCATTCATCCTCTATATTCATGGGTAATTTATAAATGGACGCGTGAAATTAAGTTTTAAAAAGCTGTCTGTTTTGTTTACAGGAGCCTCACAAGAATCTGAGTTTGTCTGCTCCAAAGAAAAAAAGCTGAGTGTTGTACAAGCTGCTCCCACTCCGTCCTTGTGTATTTCTCATAACACAACAGAAGGGTATGTTTCTGTTTACTCTACAGCGTGAGTCATGAGTTACTGCTTAGTCACAACACTAAGCTTCACTTCATAGCTTGGCTTCAGTACATGTCAGGTTTCTGTTTAGTAGTATGCTATTACTGCATTCTTGTGGCCTGCTAGTAATCCCTAAAGGGGATATACTTGTTTGTAATGAAAGAGTAGATTTTATTGTAGGCCCAGAACCCCTCCCCATCTCTTTCATATTAACCCTTGCAATCGCTGGTAAAGAATATAGAAATATGTATTGGTAACGCTTCCATATTAAACAGTTTGGTCAGTATTTACTTCAGACATTGGGAACACTAGAAAGCACATTACTACATCTTACAGCTTTAATTGGTTTGATTTGTGTTTATATTAGTAGCAGAGTTTTTACAGGTGGATTGTCAAGTCAGAGCAGCCAGACCTTCCAAAATTATTCTGGGCAATCTCTAAAGCTGTTCATACACTGGTAGGTTTTTGTACAAATCTTTCACCAGCACATTCGAAAACTCCTACAGAGACTTGACATATGTTGTTTCAAAGTACTTAGACATTTTTGTTTGCTTTTAACATTTCATTTTGACCAAATGCAATTTTCCAAACAAAAACCACATAGACTACTCAAATTTTCAATTTGATTTGACCTCACCAACGATTGGGGAAAATCGAACCAACATTTTGAAAACATTTTGGCCTTGTTAACTCAGGCCAGGAGTTCATTTGCTATCTTAATATGTCGCTGAAGGGCTGGGTTACAGAATGCTGGACCTGTTTCTGAACAAGATTTGTGTGTGGCAGGTAAACAAGAATTTTTACAGGAATTCATAAAGAGCATTCTCTTGAGTTTTGGTTTGCCTCCATACCACTGATGTTTGTGCCTTTAACAGTCATGTACCTGGGAACAAGTACATGAATTTGTTGCATGAGGGCATGGTGGAGGTCAGCACTGAGACTGGAATGTCCATGCTGGGGACCCTTCTATAGCTTTGCTCAGTACATTTGTGCAGCCCAGTGATTACTTTTACAAGCGAATACCTGGGTTTGTAAATGCATATGCACGCAGCAACATGGGTTTATTTGCTTTGTGGCTATAGAGGGAGCTAGTGAAAATAAAAACATTTGTGCCCAGAGTACAACTATAAACGTGCCTTGGAAGGGCTGGAGCTGTCCAATATTACATATAAAGTGTTATTTTAAAGTCTCTAGCAACTTTTACCTTTTGCAGTCAAAACACTAGCTATTTTTTTTCTTAAAGATCGCATATAAGAGATTAACTTGGGAATGGAGGTGTAAGATGGATGTGGACATTTTTAGAATGGTATCTGAATGCTCAATCCTCTCACCATCTTTTACAACACGTAGGAGGGTTTTACTAATATTGACACCTTGCATGTATATGAAGAGAATGTTGTGTGATGAGATTATTATTTTTTTTTTTCCCCTGCATACGCCAAACTATCTGAAAGGAGTTTGAGCCAACTCTGCTGTTCAGAGATAGATGCTGCCTATGTTGTGATTGTATCTTCATGTTTTCACCATGTAGGATTCATGAATTTGAAGGACAAGTGGTCAGTCTGCATCATCAATGCAATTTTGTTTAGAACCAGGTTCCTCAAGGATCAATGTGAAAGAGAGACCGGAGGTTTCTGCTGTCATTGCAGCTAAGAACCCACATCCTGACCAACCACTAGACTTGGCTTTTTTAGATAAGATAGTTTACACATCATTTCTGCCACAAGTAAAAAAAAAAAAAAAAACAAATCGGACACCAGTATCTCCATTTTTCGATGCAAGTCAGCAATAACAGTCTGCATAATTCCCTCAGTAAAGTGAGATAGTACACTGAGTATTTGAGTAGTTTAATCTGAGAAAGATATGCCACAGATCTTACATCTTTAAAAAAAAAAAAAAAAAGTTTAGAAGCCCTTTGATCTGACATGTAGTTATCACCCCTCTCACCCTCCTTACAACTGCAATATGTGGAGACCCCTACCACGCATACAGTAGCTGCATGTACTTGTAATTTTCTGATCATGCGGCCTATGAATGTTCAGGGTCTTCTTCAGGAAAATGGAAACTATTGGTGTGATTCATGCGATTACCATGACATTGTAGTAATCACATGCAGGCTTGATAACAAACTTCAACTTTCAAATGCTACTGCAGCCTGAAGATGGCAATTTTACACTGTTTAATACTGTAAATGGCTACACATACAGTATTTAAAAAAAAAGCAATAAAATCACTTATCAGCCATTTATCAACCCATTATAACAAATAAATTAAATAAAACCTGAGCACAGTTTTCATTAAAATAGTGTACAAAAAAAAACTGTTAAATTATTTAGGAAGGCATATTAGTCATAGTCAAGTTAACCAGCCCATATGGACACTGGTAAAATGGATCTGAGCAAGAATATTAAGGAAGGTATGATTCCTAACAATAAACATATTACATCATTTTAGAAGGTGGTTTTGTCAGTTGTGATTGCCTGGGTCAAGGAGAATAGTACCTCCATTTAAACATCTTCAGTCTCCTACCCCAGAAAGGGGTGACCCCAGATGTGGGCATTCTGGTTTTCAAGTTCAACAAGCAGCTTCCCTTAATTGTGGCCAGTGCCAAGGATCCTCTACCATTTGCAAGTGATTCTCAGGTCCCCGTGGATTACAAATACAGTAGCTGCTGACTTTTAAAATTAGGGCATTTTCCTGGCCAGGGATCCAGTGGTGTCCTCACCCCGAGTCAATTCTTCAATCGGCTGTCGGGGTGCTGGCGCCGCCATCTTGCCTAAGGGAAATTGGAAGTGAAGCATTGCGCTTTGTGAATGGGCCGCAGGATTTTTACTTGTTCTGTATCTTGGAGTACAGTACAGGATACAGGTCATCCTTTCTTCTGATCCTCCGTTTTTTTTTTTTTTTTTGTTTTTTTTTTTTTAGAAAACAGTGCAAAATAACAGATCTTATGGAGTGGGTAAGGGCTATAGGGATACGCCCAAGGGGAGTGTGTCCAAAACCCTTACCAGTGTTCAGTCACCTGAAGGCAGCTGCCTATAACCCATGACACTGCCTGTGGCCTGTATTGTACTTTTATATTGTACTTTTAGATATGGAATTTACAGACGAGACCTCTTCATTTTTTTTTTTTTTTCGGCTTATAGTTCCAAAGGTGTCCTTTTTATTGTGTTTATACCTTTTAGAAAAATAATTTAGAGTAGCTTAAAAAGAGATACAATTGCTTAAATAACGTACTCTGATTTTATGAAAGTTTGATGAATTAGAAAATGTTTTTTTAACCTGAGTATTTTCTCCCCTTGTTTCGGTTTTATTTTCTATGTCTCTTATTGTGTGACCTGTTGTCTCATCTGCTGTAATTCTTTCCTTAGGTACCTTAATTTTGATACTTCAAAAAAATATCATTTTACATGCAGCAACTTCAGGACCCGTTTGGATTATGGTCCATGTGGCTAGAAAGTCATCTAAACTTTCCTATCATTCTCAGTGATGTGGTTGTGCCAGAGCAAGACGGGGGAATTTTCAAGGTATTGTGGTTTTTGATTTGATTTGTTTTTTCTAAATAAAAATCTCAGCCTTCGTACATGTCACTAATTTCTTCATTCTTTATAATTCAGTACTTGGGATAATTAGCCTCGAGTGTTTGTTTATTCCTGAGAGCCAAACGGTTCCTTTAGTTTTGGCGAAATGGAAAAAGGAGTAGAACCCTTATCTGGATTTTTACTGCAGTTCGATCCCATTGGAAAAAAATGTTCTCTTCATTTTTGTCAGAACAGAAAGCACTTCAGTGCTGGGACTAATTTTCTTTAAAGCATGAGCTTTAACCACTTGCCAACCGCGCTATAGCCGAATGATGGCTACAGCGCGGTTGTCCAGTTCTGGGATGGCATCATATGACGTCCTCCCAGAACACGCCCTCCTGCTTGCACCCAACGATCTCCATGATCGCTCTGTCCTACAGACACAGCTGATCACATGATGTGGTAAAAGGCCAATCACAGTGGCCTTTTACCACGTGATCAGCTGTGTCCAATGACACAGCAGATCACTGGTAAATGCAGTTTCCGGTTATCGACTGCACTTTTCTCACGCTGTCACAGCGTGAGGAAAGTACTGCCGATAACTGGCAATTGTCAGAGCACGGCACCGATCATCAGGGCACTGATGATCAGTGCCATCCACCTGTGCCTAGTAGTGCCACTCACCTGTGCCCATCAGTGCCCCCCATCAGTGTGTGGGAAAAAAATTATTTAATATGGGTACAGTGTTGCATGACCACGCAATTGTATGTGTGTATGTATATATGTGTGTAAATGTATGTATGTGTGTATATATGTATATATATATATATATATATTATATATATATATATATATATATATATATATATATATATATATATATATATTATATATATATATGCACACACACACACAAAGTGGGGCAAAAAAGTATTTAGTCAGCCACCAATTGTGCAAGTTCTCCCACTTAAAAAGATGAGAGAGGCCTGTAATTGGCATCATAGGTAGATCTCAACTATGAGAGACAAAATGAGAAAAAAAATCCAGACAATCACATTGGCTGATTTGGAAGGAATTTATTTGCAAATTATGGTGGAAAATAAGTATTTGGTCAATATCAAAAGTTCATCTCAATACTTTGTTATATATCCTTTGTTGGCAATGACAGAAGTCAGACATTTCCTGTAAGTCTTCACAAGGTTGGCACACACTGTTGCTGGTATGTTGGCCCATTCCTCCATGCAGATCTCCTCTAGAACAGTGATGTTTTGGGGCTGTCCTTGGGCAACACGGACTCTCAACTCCCTCCAAAAGTTTTCTATGGGGTTGAGATCTGGAGACTGGCTAGGCCACTCCAGGACCTTGAAATGCTGCTTACGAAGCCACTCTACTTCGTTGCCCGGCCGGTATGTTTGGGATCATTGTCATGTTGGAAGACCCAGCCACGTTTCATCTTCAATGCCCTTGCTGATGGAAGGAGGTTTGCGCTCAAAATCTCACGATACATGGCCCCATTCATTCTGTCCTGTACATGGATCAGTCGTCCTGGTCCCTTTGCGAAAAAACAGCCCCAAAGCATGATGTTGCCACCCCCATGCTTCACAGTAGGTATGGTGTTCTTTGGATGCAACTCGACATTCCCTCTCCTCCAAACACGACGAGTTGTGTTTCTACCAAACAGTTCTATTTTGGTTTCATCTGACCATATGACATTCTCCCAATCCTCTTCTGGATCATCCAAATGCTCTCTAGCAAACTTCAGACGGGCCCGGACATGTACTGGCTTAAGCAGGGGGACACATCTGGCACTGCAGGATCTGAGCCCCTGGCGGCCTAGTGTGTTACTGATGGTAGCCTTTGTTACGTTGGTCCCAGCTCTCTGCAGGTGTGGTCCCGTGTGCTCACCGTTCTTGTGATCATTTAACCCCACGGGGTGAGATCTTGCGTGGAGCCCCAGATCGAGGGAGATTATCAGTGGTCTTGTATATCTTCCATTTTCTTATTATTGCTTCCACAGTTGATTTGTGCACACCAAGCTGCTTGCCTATTGCGGATTCAGTCTTCCCAGCCTGGTGCAGGTCTACAATTTTGTTTCTGGTGTCCTTCGACAGCTCTTTGGTCTTCACCATGGTGTGGTGTGTATATATATATGTGTGTGTATGTGTATGTGTATGTGTGTGTATATATATATATATATATATATATATATATATATATATATATATATATATATATATATATATATATATATATATATATATATATATTCATTAAAGGCCAACATAAGAAGATACAGCCTTTTTTTTTTTTTTTTTTTTTTTTTTTTTTTTTTTTGTAAGGGGAAAAAAACAAACCTCGTTTTCTCATCTTGAATAAGTGCCATTGTGTGCTTGTCCTCATTTTTATTACCATGCATTACTTTAATTCTAAATGTTACATTTTGACATACCATGATTGAATTTGCCACACTTTGTATTTTAGTTTTGTTAGTTGTTGTGAATGAAAGAATATGTAATGGGTTATCACTCCTATTGTCATGGAGGTGGTAGCTGAGTTTCAGTGAGGTGTTTAATAGGGAGAGCAAAAAAGCAGTAATTTGAAGTGATGCTAAAAAGAAGACTTTGTAAGACTGACAAAAGGAAGTGACAATCGCTTATCTCACTTGTCTTATTGAATGGAGTTATTTTCTGAAGGGATGGGTGGATGACATCACAAATTGCATCAGCCAATCAGAAGAAGCTTTGTATTCATTTATAAAATACAAAGCTTCCTCTGAATGGCTGAGTAGCTCTCAGCCTGATGTGTTTTTTTTTCCAAGAGCTGAGGCTACATACAGCTTTTACAGAACACCTAGCTGCTGCAACGGTTAGTGAAGTAAATAGTTTGTTTGGACCAGCTTGTTCCAAATGAACTATTTTAAAGTTAAGCTAAACATGGAGATCAGCTTTAAGGCTTCATACACGCTGGTTTATTATAAATGCTGTTTAAATGAACAAACAAAATCAGCGCTAAAATCTTCATGCAGACTAGGTTAACTGAAACTCATTCGTAGAAGTGCAGCCCTTAAAGATCGGGAAATCTTGATACTGGTGAACAAAAGCAAAACCGGGCGCACACTCTTCGTGCATTGCCGTAGTAAACCAAGAATTTATTAGGAAGCATAAAAATGCATACTCGCAAACCCAAGGGGCATAAAAACAGACAAGAAGAGTCCATAATGACAGTCCAAAGTGACGGTAGACCTCACCAAGGGTCTGCCGTTACTTTGGACTGTTATTAAGGACTCTTCTTGTCTGTTTTTACCCCCCTTTGGTTTGTGAGTATGCATTTTTATGCTTCCTAATAAATTCTTGGTTTACTACGTTAATGCACAGAGAGTGTGCCCTGTTTTGCTTTTTTTTTTTTACCATAAATGCTGTTTCTCCTGACAGGAGAAAATAAGTGTTAAAAACTCACGTAACATTTGATTTGTACTTGGTGTAATGGTGACATTGAATATGGGGTTTTTTTGTTTTGATTTTTTATTTCAGCGGTTTCCTATATTTAGGCTTAGGTTTTACCTACTATTGTTTTTTTTTTTTTTTTTTTTCTGTTTTCAATTACAGATCCTGAATTTCACTCACTTGTTTACTTTACCTCCTGGCTGCTGGAACATATTTACATGGAAGATCCAAGCCAAAGAATTGCCGCTGAATTTGTTGACCAACATAATGATAGTTACCTCATTAGGTGTTACATTTGAGATTCCTGTACTGATCCACTATGCTGGCCCTGCGGTAAGTATTTTTCCTGTCATGAACATTCAGAATGTGTGCTTTTTGTTTAGGAAAAAACAAGGTGTAGGGCTAACTGACTGAGGGGTAAAATATACTTAAGTGTGTGTGTGTGGTCTGCACCCGCACCTTTGTCTGCTTCAAAACCTTCTTTGAATTGTCAGAGAATTTACCAGCAGATAATAAAATGGAGAGATTACCAAAGACAACTTTGATGGTGACACCACATGTTTTTGAAGTCTCTTTTGCAGACAGCTTAACTTGTTCTTAACCATTTCCATACTGGGCACTTTTACCCCCTTCCTGCCCAGGCCATTTTTCAAGTTTCAGCGCTCTCACATTTTGAATGACAATTGCGCGGTCATACTACATTGTACCCAAACTAAAATTTTATCATTTTCTTTACACAACTAGAGCTTTCTTTTGGTGGTATTTAATCACCACTGGGGTTTTTATTTTTTGCTAAATTAACAAAAAAAGACAGAAAATTTTGAAAAAAAAACCCACGTTTTTCTTTCTGTTATAAAAGTTTGCAAATAAATAATTGTTGTTTATAAATTTAGGCCAAGATGTATTCTGCTACATGTCTTTGGTGAAAATAACCCAAATTAGGATGTATTTTTTAGTTTGTAGGAAAGTTATAGAGTTCACAAACTATGGTATAGATCTGAAAATTGATCAATCCTGAAGTACTGACAGCCAATCTAATTTCTTGAGGTCCAAGAATGTCAGAACAGTACAGATATCCCCCAAATGACCCCTTTTTGCATTGTAGACAGTCCACCTCATAAGAGGCATGGCAAGTTTTTTGAAGTTGTATTTTTTTTGTCATTTTTTGGAAAATGAAAAAATTAAAAAAATTATTTTCACTTTTTTTTTTTTTTACATACTGTCACCAGTGCAGTACAGCATCATCATATAACTGGCATGGCGGTGATCAGGGACACTGACTGGTGACGGTATGAAAAAAAAATATATTTTTTTAATTTTTTTTTTTTTAATTTTTTAATTTTTTTAAGATTTTTTTTTTTTCATATTTCACTATGTCCAAAGTAGTACAATGTTGCCATAGTAACATTGTACTACTTTGGGGAAGTGATCAGTATTTTTTTTTTTACACAATTTGCTTATAGCAAAGAATTACCCATATTTTTCGCTCCATAAGACGCACTTTTTTCCCCCCTAAAAAGGGAGGAAAATGTTAGTGCGTCTTATGGAGCGAATATGGAGCGGCCGGTCCGGTATTTCCACCGCCGCCGTGTCAGAATACCGGGCCAGCCGCTCAGCTCTGCAGCGGGACCTTATGGAGATGACTGCTGACCTTTGGGGAGGTGGGGAGCGGGTACCTGAATTTGACAGGTACCCGCTCTTACTTCCGCGGAGTTGTTCTTTGATCTTAGCTGTTGCTCTATCCAGCGGCCAGCTGTCTTCCCGTAGTACTTCTTCTGTAGTGTCGGCGCTGGGCTTGACAGCCGGGTGCCAAGTGCGCATGCGCAAGAAGCGGTGCTTTTTGTGAATGGTAAGGCGGTACCTGGGAGACCTGACAGATCCCAGAAGCCGCCGGACCAATCACAAAGCGCAAGTGCTTCTCGCTCATGTGGACTGGGCACCCGGCTGTCATGCCGAGCGCCGACACTACAGAAGCCAGGAAGACAGTGCACGGCTGGATAGAGGAACAGGTAAGATCAAAGAACAACTCCGCGGAAGTAAGAGCGGGTACCTGTCAAATTCAGGGATACTCGTGTTTGGTATACAGCTTTCAGCACTTGCAAGAATTGTCTCTGTGGTATGTGGGAAAAAAAGAAGAGTGGACTGAAATCTTTAGAGTTCATCTTTGATATATTCCCATGGCAAATCCACCAGGGTGCTGGTCATAACAGCATAATGGCTATATTTAGTAAATTAAACAGCTTCTCATTGTTTAATTGTGTGCTTTATTCTATATCTCATATTAACTGGAAGTCTCTTACATATGTTTCTAGCATTTTGCTTAAGTAAACTATTTTAATTTTGCCATTTCTCAAATTCTGTTTCAGTCTGGGAACCAACATCTGAAACCGTTTGCACAGTGTGGAGTCCATCCCATTATCAGGCCTTTATCTTTTGGTAAATGTACTTTATTTTGTACTTAAAATGTATATTTCTAGAGGCTGCTTTCGTACTGCTCCATTGCAAAAATGCATTAAAACAGCATATGTGGTTTCTCTGTGTTTCTAGTGCTTTTGCATCTGTGGAAAAAAAAAGTGACTCCAAAAACTCAACCCTGGGTACATTGTCATGGTTTTTGCCACTTTTTTTTGCATCCAATTAAATGTTTTTTGTTTTTTTTTTTACCCACACCAAAAATGCAGCAAGCAGAACTTTTAAAAATGCAACTGGATTTAATGGTCATGCATTTTTCTTTTGCTTTTGGAAAGACAAAAACAGAAGAAGACCGATCAGTGTGAAAGCAGCCTAAATAATAGCATCAGAATACTAGCTTTACCTAATTACAACAAAAAACTGTAATGCACATTATTTACTGTAATCAGTACAACATTAAATTTTGAACTGTTTGTAAAATAACATAAAAGAAATTTAATCCCTTCCCGCTGAGTGTACACATACTGTATATGCAACCTCATGGAAGCGAGTCTTTATCCATGAGGCCACATATATGCTTGCATGCATTCAGGCTAGGAGCGCACCCCTAGCAAAGAGACTGGCTAACAGTGACCGCTTTTGGATCTTGGACTAACCATTGGGAAGCATGAGAACTGGTCCCCAATCCAAGTGATCCCTGTGACAGCCAATCATAGTAATCACATGAATGGGAACTGTGTAAAATACCTCTGTAGTATCTTTTTCCTCAGAAGCTCTGTGAAGAGAGATACTTTGTATCTGTTCAGAGGATGTTCTGTGGGGAGAACAGTCCAATAACAGAAAATAATTTTACATCTGTCAACATTAGCTAGATCAGGCACTGATCACCAATGACAATGTTGGTAATAGTGACAGTCTCCACTTTAGAGTTGGTGTTATTAGTGTCCTTGTCACCACTAGTGTAAATGTTAGTGGCCCTGTCGCCAATAGTGTTTTTGCTTCTGTTTAATCACAGTGTTGGTGTTCTTGTCACCCCTAGTGTCCGTGTTTGTCAGTGTTAGTGTGTCAGTCACCAGTTAATATCAGTGTAGGTGTTTTTGTTTAAAAAAAAAAAAAAAAAAAAAAAAAAGAGAAAAATTCTGGGTTTATAGATTTATTATAGTTTTAGTGTGTGGGGTGTAGTGTGCACCTGTATTTTCAGCATTTGTGTCGGTTTTTGTGTCTGTCTCTGTGCTTTAAGATTAAAAAAAAAAATTGAGAGTTCGTGTTCCTGCACGTGTCCATGCCATTGTTAATATCTGTGTTTTTGTATGGAAAAAAAAGGTTTTAGATTTTTTTATTGTGCCTCTGATTGTGTGCCTATAATATTATTATATTATTATACAGGATTTATATAGCGCCAATAGTTTGCTCAGCGCTTTACAGTATAAAGGGAGACAATACAGTTCAATACAAGAGGGTTACGAGGGCCCTGCTCCTTGGAGCTTACAATCTAGGAGGGAGGGGCTAGTGGTACAAAAGGTAATAACTGTGGGGAATGGACTGGTTGGAAGAGTAGAAGATTCCATTATTAGCTGAGGGCAGGATAGACTTCCCTGAAGAGAGGTTTTCAGAGATCGCCTAAGAGTGAGCAGAGTAGGCAGTAGTCTGATAAATTGGGGTAGAGAGTTCCAGAGGATGGGGGATGCTCTGGAGACGAGCATGGGAGGAGACAAGGGAGCTAGAGAGCAGGAGGTTGTGTGAGGAGTGGAGAGTACGGGTGATATTTGGAGACAAGATTGGTGATGTAATTTGGGCAGATTTATAAATGGCTTTATACGTTATTGTTAATAATAATATCAGTGTTTGTGTCAGTTTAGTGTTCTGTATTTTAGGATAAAAGGAATTAGTGTGCGCCAGTCATCGTTGGTGTGATTTGTCAGTTTAGGGTGTGTCTGTGTTGTATAACAAAAAAAACTGATTTTTGCTCCATGTGGGTGACTGTAGTTTGCAAATATAAATAAAACACACACACACTTGAAGAGGTATATGCCCTCCTGTGCTCGGGCAGTGAATTGAGTTGGTCTGAGAAATTTGAGGCTTTCCTCAGTGATGAAGAGTGTCTTTTGAGGCAGCTCCACCAATTGCGAGGCCCAGCACTAGCAAGGGAGCAAGAGAACGCATGGGGTAGTATCACATTACCAGTTGCTGCACAGCAGTATGCATTCAGTGGATAGCGGCAGAATCTTTCACCTACCAAATACTTACAGTTATATACCAGGCATGAATATCAATATTGTAGGTTTTAGCCATGTGGATTTCTTTAAGGTATTAGTGAGTGACGAGCTTCTAGAGCTTGTTGTCGCTCAAACTAACCTTTATGCCACCCAGTTTCTGGTGCAGCAACCTGCCATCTTTTCACAGCACTGGATGCACAGTACACACCTTGCATAAGTCAAAACTGTACTGGATGGCATTATTGGGCCTTTAGTTCCATCCATGCCAGACCATCTCTTCCCCCAGTTATTATGAGAGACTGTTTTGAAGCAGTGTTGCACTTTTTATATTTTAATGGTGATTCCCAGCATCACCCAAGCATTGACCCCAGACATGACCACCTTTTAAAACTGTGTCTCCTAATATTTTTTCTGAACATCTTTCAGCTGGTTATACTCCTGAACAAAAATTCTTGATTGATGAATCCTTAATGAATTTTAAAGGCCGACTCCATTTTAGGAAGTTCATACCATCCAAACGTGCCCAATAATGTAAACCATTTACAAAGTGTGTGCACAACCGGGTATATATTTGAAAAAAAAAAATTGTATATATATTTAATGACGAAATTCCTCCAGGGCTGCCCAGACAAAATATTGAAGTGAAAGGGAAGCTTTGGCAGCTCATTCAACCTCTGCTCCGTCAAGGCTGCCATCTTTATGTATACAGTTACTACACCTGAGTGCCACTTTTTAGATCTCTGAATGCTGCTGTCATAAGAGCATGTGGGACCATGTGGAAAAACGGAAAACCGTTCAGTTACCAACAGGAGGCACTAGTGGCCATCAAATTTACAGACCGAAAAGACGTCTTTTTATACTGACAACACTCCTAGAGAGCACAGTGCTTGTAACAGAACATGGGTCAGCTACACAGATGGAAAAGCCTTTGTGTTAACACATACAACAGATACATTGGTAGAGTCAACCTCTCTGACCAGGTCTTTCAGCTCAATTTAATCCAATCGGAGGCCTCATACAAAATGGTTGTGATATGCCTTATCCAGGTGGCTCTACACAATCTATTTGTCCTTTACAAAAACAATCTGCTGGCACCTTCTTGCTGTACCAGGAAAAAAAAAATTGAATGCCTGATGTTTCTAAAAGACCTCATACAGCCTGCAAAATCAGAGGATGTTAGACAACCAGACATTTTTTATATCCAAACCATTTCACATTAGCTATGGATACAAAAAAAAACAAATAATGCACACATACACTCACCAGCCACTTTATTAGGTATCCCCACCCAATTACACCACCACCTCCAGCCTAAACCGTTAATACAAGAGATGGTATTCTGCTTACCTTGGTTGTAACAAGTGGTTATTTGAGTTACTGTTGACTTTTTATCATCTCAAACCAGTCTGCCCATTCTCCTCTGACATCAACAAGGCATTTTTGTCCACACAACTGCCGCTCACTGAATATTTTCTCTTTTTTGGACCATTCTCTGTATACCTGAGATGCTTGCATGTGAAAATCCCAGTAGACCAGCAGTTTTTGAAATCGTCACCATGCTATGTTCAAAGTCCCTTAAATCCCCCTTTTTTGACCCATTCTGATGCTCATTTTCAAGTTCAGCAATTCATTTTCACCACGTCTAGATGCCTAAATGCATTGAGTTGCTGCCATGTGATTGGCTTATTAGCAATTTGTGTTACTAAACAATTGAACAGATGTACCTGATAAAGTGGCTGGTGAGTGTATGTGGTATCCTCAAGCATGTCAGGTGTAGGAGAATGTGTTTTGAGTTGATTTTTAGCAGTGGTTCATGATAATGGTGAAATATTCAGCTAAACTGAAACATTTGTAAATATGCAAAATTTTTTATGCAATTTTTTATTTTTGTCTTCAAATCACAATTCTTGCTAAAAGCAGCCAGGGTAAAAACCTAAGAGGATAAGAACGTTTGGCAGTGTCAGTACAAGAGGTAATACTTGCAGGCAGCAAGGTACCATGGGATATGTAGTCTTTAGAAATTCAAAGTAAATGGCAGAGCAGAAGCTGCAATTAATGCAGGGAATCCAGGAATTCCATTGTGGAATGAGATGGCCAGCGGACAGATTGCAGTCACAATATAAGTGGTTTCAAGTAAGCTTATATTGAACTGTCAAAAATAACTATTGTTTTGATATTACAGTGCTGATGTTATAAAATGAAATGAAAGTGTTAAAAAATTTTATTTATCCGACAATAATTTGGCGATTTTTGTTTCTTTAGAAGAAAGTGTGCGTTGGCATCATAGCCTCTCCCTTGGGATGTCAGCCTGGAGTATAGACTATGAGTTAGGGTCTGAACTCTATGCAAAGTTTCAGAAGATGCATGAAGCTGATACATGCAGGTAGGAGTCAGATATGTGCTGTTTAGAATTACGTTTTATAATTTATTTGGTCTACTGAGTAGTATGCTTTGAATTGTATATTTATAAGTAAGTGAAGAAGGTTTGCAATGACACTAAGCTCTAATTAAAAAAATAAAAATGTCCAAGTGTGTATTAACGCAAAAAATGACCTTCTTATGCTCTCATCCTCCTCGAAATCGCCAAATTCCTTTTTTTTTTGCTTTTCCATGGTCCCACTGTATGTAGGATTATTGCCACCTTCTCATACTCACGCTAGAGATGGACTAGGGACAGTGGATTATGGGATCTGCATTGCTTGTTCCTAACAATCGGAAGTGAAGAGGAAAGAGAGCGGTTAAGGAGTTTAAGAATGTTATAAGGAGGCAGAAAAACCGTTCAGAAAAGATTTAATGAATAGATTATGTAGTGGATATGTGCATGAATTATATTTGAATGATAAGGATATTGTTTAGTGTCTCTTTAAGGCCAACTCAATTCTAAACATCTCTATAAGTCGTTGAGCAGTTAAAACTCAAGAAGCTATGTTTTGTGCCTTTTTATTTTTTCCCCCTTTATTGTGTGCAGGAGGAAGAATGTAGAGAATGGTACCCAACAGAAGAAAGATATTTTTCTACCCCAGTTGATTGCTGAGCCTGATCTTGTTGTCAACTTCACTGCAACTGCACTAAGCAACAACTCGGTAATTAAACTGCCCTTTTGCCATAATTATAGTTTTGCTACCATCTTTAGGAGTCTATATTTTCATGAAAATTGTGTTCTAATTTTTAAATGTTGAATAGGATATTTGACAAGTGTTTAGGTTATTGTAAAATGTAGGGGTTAAAAACCTATTTTTGTAATCTAATTTTATGCTTTTTGGGGTTTTTGTATTAGGTGAAATATGTTATCCTGAAGAACCCATCTCCTTTTCCAGTAACAGTGCAACTGCTACCTCTTTCGCATTACCCCAACCCTCAAGCTGCTCTCAGCCTTCTCAGCAAATGGTATGTACATTAGCCTAATTATTGCCTGTGCTTGGTCCTAGTGTTTTATTTTGGTTTTAATCACACCACCCAAAGATATCAGTTTTGTGTGTCCAGTTTGTTTTTTAATTTTTTTAAACTTTTTAAATATATTTTAATATTTTGTTGGCTTTTAGGTATGGTGCAAATGAGCAGGAGATTGACTTCACAACAGGAGAATTCAGGCTGCAGAAACAATGTGACACACAGGTAATGTATGTAGTGGTTGCACCCACTCAACGAGTGGTTGCAATGTTGCATGACTGCGCAGTTGTCAGTTAATGTAACGCAGTGCCGTAACTCAAAATATAGCCTGGTCAGGAAGGGGGGTAAATCCTCAGGAGGGCAAGTGGTTCATGAACTAAAATAGTCTATTGTTTACTTTGTCTATAGAAGGCTTGCATAATAATTACACTGTTTTGCCAATTTATATGACAAGTATGACAAAATAGATTATCAGGGTGAACACTACTACTGTTTTTTTGGCAGTAGCAATAATATCCAGAATAGAAGTTGGTGTGTTCTACTTGAAGGCATCTAGATCAAAAGAGTTGGTGATAAAAATGAAATTTCTGGAAACAAAAGGATTGGGGTTGTTTACGTTTACCTATCAAAACATTAAAAAGGCAATGCTTTCCTCCTATCCTACAGGACAAATCTCAGAAATGCAGTAGTGAAGTACTTGAATTGCATTTACCACCTTGGGGAGTGTCGGAAAGTTGGAATAGTCTTTGTGCCTCTGGATTACCGAAAAGTTACCTCATTTATAATTGTTCGGTAAGTATTTTTTATGACTGCTAAAAATCTCGCCAAAATGCTTGCGCATTAACCCCAGATATTCTTTCTTGTGTGTGTGTTTGGTTATACATCATATTAGGTAAACTCTGGATATGTGGCTTCCTCTATCGGCAGTAACTGCTTAAGAGTGGTAGTTACTCATTACCATGTGGACCCTCAGCATCAGCGGTAACACCAGCAGAATCTGTAGCATATTCTTGTTGCCCCACCTGCATCAGTAGGCACATCATTTGTGTAGGGTGCTGGAAGTAACGGGCAGATCATGTAGCAAGCTATTTTACAAAACAGAAAAACTAATAGGTAACTCTTGAGGTACAGTTTTACAGGCCAACCTGACTTTCAGAAGGAAAGATTATTCTTTTGTGTATGACAAAGCTTGATGCTTATGCTTGATGGTGTTTGCATTGCATATGGCACAAGGAAGGGCGCTTTCTAGGAATAGACCTCTACGTTTTTCCATGGACTTGAAAGCTTCTTTTACAACAGTACTCCTTGTAACTGTCAGGTGGTAAATGATTCTCTAAAAGCTGGACTAATATCTTTCATGACTAAGTTATGAACAGAAGATAGATCATAAGCATATCGACATTCATTCTTTTATTGCTTCTTTTCAGTACAAAGTTAGCTTAGAAAAGTGTTGTAGCACTCGACCCAGGTGTAACATAGTGGTATAGTTTTGAGACAGTACTCTAAATATCCATGGGCTTAGATAGATAGATTCTCATAGCATTGACCATAAAAACTGGTGAAAAAAGTGCCACAGTCCAGTGAGTTTTTATTAGTTACATTGGTACCATTTTGTGTGTTTTTGGGATGCCTTACCTACTACAGTATAAATTATCTATATTGTTACAGGTGGGCTGGAGGTCAATTGGCACCACATCCCATATATTGGATAACGACCATTGTAAAGAGAAACAGGAACTTTTAAGGTGCTCAGAAAGAATATTGGACATTCAGTATTATATTAACCACTTCAAGTCCGGACACTTTTACCCCCTTCCTGTCCAGGCCAATTTTCAGCTTTCAGTGCTATCACACTTTGAATGACAATTGCGCGGTCATGCAACACTGTACCCATATGAATTTTTTAGTATTTTTTTTTTTAGACAGATAAAGCTTTATTTTGGTGGTATTTATTCGCCACTGGGATTTTTTTTTTTTTGCTATGTAAATGAAAGTCCAAAAATGTTGAAAGAAAGTGTTTTTCTTATAAAATTTTGCAAATAATATTTCATCATAAATCTTGGCCAAAATTTATTCTGTTATCTTTTTAATACAAAAAAATAAAATAACCCAAATTAGTTTATAACCAAAAATTATAATTTTTAAACTTTTTTGGGCAATCCATGATCACATGATTGGGACCTCAGAGAGAGGTCCCATACGACGATCGGTATTCCACTGTGTCCGGAGGACACAGCGGGCACCGGAACGTGGTGCTGTGCGCTCCCAGGGAGCGCGCGCAAGCAGGGGGTGGGGAGGCCGTTTATAAACGGCCACCCGACCCTGCATTGCCACCACCGGGCCGATTATATACAACAGCCAGACGGGAGGTGGTTAAAATCAAACAAAATGTTTTTTGTTGTTATATATCACATAAGAAACTACATCACATTTGTAGTTGTAAACGTTTAAAACCAGCAACGCGTCTCATGTGGCTCAATATTCACAGTGCAACAATTCCCACTTAACATGTTTCGCCAATTTTTTGGCTTCTTCAGGAGTTTTACAAATTATTGCATATAATTGCCACTAGGAAAAGATAAAGGATATCAAGAACTACTTGCTCTGCTTAGGATTTACTCCCCTCGATGACCAGGCCATTTTTTTGTGTTATGGCGCTGTGCTACACACAAATGAAATTTATGTCCTTTTTTTTCCCCACAAATTGAGCTGTCTTTTGGTGGTATTTGATCACCTGTGCGGTTTTATTTTTTGCGTTTAAAAAAAAGAATTTTGAGGAAAACAATATTTTGGACTTTTTGCGATTAAACATGCCCAGTAAAAAAAATTAATTTAATCATAAATTTAGGCCAAAATGTATTCTGCTACATGTCTTTGCTAAAAAAAAAATCCCTATACGTGTAAATTAATTTGTTTAATGTTAAGGTTAATCAAAGCTTTTAACAGAAATACAACAACAAAACCTAAACCTCAATGCACATACTGAATATTGGTTGTATAAGGCTTACCTGACGGGGCTATTCTTACCAGGTATATTTTCATTCAAAGGAAGAGTGTGTAAAAAAAGCAAGCATCTACTCTCTTTATCCCCAAGAGGATCCAAATGAACCAAAAGAGGTAAAGGAAGCTGTATCCAATCAATGCAGACTTCCCTGCTATCGCTCACATCCAACTCCTAGATACAACCAAATAGAATTACAAAAGGGGGGGGGGGGAGAAGGTGTGTGGGTGTGTAAAATATATATATAAAATGTTAGGTCCAATCTATAGTTCTATAATGGATATAGGCTGAAAGTTTAATTTGAGGGTATGTACATCCAAATTGGAAGAAGGGTTTAGGAAATACAAATTACAGCTCTTAAAGAGTAGCCATCACCCCTTTTTCAAGGGACCAAAAGTAATTGGACAATTGAATCAAAAGCTGTTTCATGGCCATGTGTGGGCTACTCCATTATTTCTTCATCAATTAAGCAGGTAAAAGGTCTGGAGTTGATTCTAAGTGTGGTACTTGCATTTGGAATCTATTGCTGTGAACCTACACCATGCATTCAAAAGAGCTTTCCATGCAAGTGAAACAGGCCATTGTAAGGCTTCAAAAATGAAACAAATCCATCAGAGAGGTAGCAGCAACATTAGGAGTGGCCAAATCAACAGTTTGGTGCATTCTGAGGAAAGCAGAATGCACTGGTGAGCGCCGCAACATAAAAAGGCAAGGTCATCCACGGAAGACACCAGTGGTGGATGATCGCAGGATCCTCTCTATGGTAAAGAAAAACCCATTCACAGCATGCAGACAACTGAAGGACACTCCAGGAGGTGGGTGTATCATTGTCAAAGTCTACAATCAAGAGAAGACTTCTCGAGAGCAAATACAGAGGGATCACCACAAGGTGCAAGCCATTTATAAGCCTGAAGAACAGAAAAGCCAGATTAGACTTTGCCAAAAAACATAAAAAAACAAACAAACCAAAAACCAGACCAATTCTGGAAAAGCACTCTTTGGACAAATGAAAGTTAGATTAATCTGTACCAGAATGACGGAAGAAAAATGTGTGGATAAGTCTTGGAACAGCTCATGATCCAGTGCACACAACGTCATCTGTAAAACGTGGAGGCAGTGTGGTGGCATGGGCATGCATGGCTTTCAGTGGCACTGGGTCATTGGTGTTTGATGATGTGACAGACGACGGAAGCAGCCGGATGAATTAGAGATATACTGTCAGCCCAGATTCGGCCAAATACAGCAAAGTTGATTGGACAGCGCTTCACAGTACAGATGGACAGTGATTCGAAACACACTGCAAAAGCAACCCAGGAGCTTTTGAAGGAAAAGTGGAATATTCTGCAATGGCCGAGTCAATCACCTGATCTCAACCCAATTGAGCATGCATTTCACTTGCTGAAGGCAAAACTAAAGGCAGAAAGACCCACAAACAAAGAACTAAAGACAGCTGCAGTTAGAACCTGGCAAAGCATCAGAAAGGAGGAAACCCAGTCTTTGGTAATGTCTATGGGTTCCAGACTTTAGGCAGCCATCGTCCGTAAAGGATTCTGAACAGAATATTAAAAATGAACATTTTATTTATGATTATATTCATTTGTCCAATTACACTTGAGCCCCTGAAAATGGAGGGACTGTGTATAAAAACCGGTTGCAGTTCCTAAAATTTGTTGTTGATATTAATTTTCAAACCTTGAATTAAAAATGAAAGTCTGCACTTCAGATTTATTTGGATTGTTTCATTTTAATTTATTCTGGTGGCATACAGAGCTAAAAGTATGGAAATTGTGACTGTGTCCCAAATATATATGGACCACCCAACTGTAGAAAGTGTGTGTTTTATATGTGTGTGTGAAAAATGGAAAAATCATGGACCCATGGGCAATCCCACTCGCCTCAAACGATCCAAAGCTCCTATCGCCGAATAATTGCCCAGATGGACAAAGGTGAAGATGAGACCAAACCGCTGTATGATCTCCTGAATTTCAAGGAGAAAAGGACAATCGACACTAAAATAATAAATACATTTTAGATCTATATCCTCAAAAAAAAGACTAGTTCATTGAAGTTAAACTATTACATACCGTTCATAGCAAGGATCATCACAAATAAAGTAGTTCTGGTAGGTCTGCTGGAGCTGGGTGCAACAATCTTATAATTGTATATGTGAATAGGTAGGCGCTGCAATGATTATATAACACAGATGAAAAAGAGAGTGAACTAGCAATATCATAAAACAAATGGTAGTCCTGAACAAAATATGAATAGTGAACATAATATATTATGGTGACCGTCCCATAAAGGTGTAGTCCCATAGACAACAAATATGCTCTTTCGCCACGTGCAGACAGTAAGTGAATTTCTCACTCACCAGAAAAAATTGACCCTGGTTAAGGTGGTCAAATATCGCTTTGTCATAAATATGGATGACCAGCAACAGGCTTTCCTGGATCAGAGCTCCTGGTCTCCTAATAAGAGATATGGATCCAGGGGATCAAAGATGACTACCCCAAGTTGGGTGATCACAAGACTCTGGGTGCACAAATGGTGGATGGATTCACCATATCAGGCTCTCCTCAAGATAAAGGTAATGCTCCAAACAGCTCAAAAAACCAAATGAATTAAATTGCTCAAAGTGTAGTATTCACTGAAAATAGCATAACAAGACAGAAAAGTATCAATGCACTCACATGTATTGGTGCCCATAAACCAGCACCAGTCTACGCAGCCTGTGTTTGTATGTATACCAATATTGATGGTTGGAGTGTGTTCCAAGCCTCGCTTTTGACAGGATGTGACGTCACGGGAACCCGGAAGTGACGGGATCACGCTTCTATGGATGTTTCGCCTGGCAGCGTCCTCAGGAAGTGATGTACTGCCATTACCGCCACATTGAATAGGAGTAGAATCATGTTGATTAGACTGCTCCAAAAACATGGCTAACTCAAACGATAGGGGCAAAACAATGCTATGTGTATAGCGGCTGCATAAACTGCTGCGGTGTACAAAAAATGGGGACCTTTTAAGACACATAGGTATAAAAATACAATGGGAAACATATGCAGTTAAAAACATAAATAAAACCTATTAATCTGTCTTGGAATAAGTAACTATACTGAGATATGGACAATCATTATATAAGAGTAAACACCCTCAAGGCAGATCGGGATGAATGTTAAAAGTGATAAGTAAAAAATAAAAAGGAGACATAAAATAAAACAAAAATCAATCAGTAAAAATAAGGTAAAAAAACAAAGCACAAATAAAAAAAATTGCAATTCACATTTATATTTGAGTGCCAAGCATTCTAGATGTATGGTACTGATAATTTGTAGGAATCTCAATCACACTACTATCTGTCCATAGATCTATATAGATCTCTACCACCTTTTTTTCTTTCCCTTTTCCATCCACATTTTTGCATAGATGTTATTCATATAATTTTTATAGGTCTATATTCACATTTTGTACCCCTTTTTTAAAATTCATTTTTAAACTATTTTTTCCCAGATTTTTCTTGGGGGGGGGGGGTTTTTTTTTTTTTTTTGTGCTTTCATTTTTTGTATTTTTAGTATTTTTATTTGCATCTTTATTTTGTTCACCATTACCATTTGTTTGATATTGCTAGTTCACTCTTTTTTTCATCTGTGTTTTATAATCATTGAAGTGCCTACCTATTCACATATACATTTGTTTAAGTGCATTTCACTTTTTAGGGGCAGCTGTTAACTTTTGCTGACTTAGAGCGGGCAACATTCACTATTGTTTAAATTATTCACTCATTTAGGTGCCACAATATTGCTTTTTAAAGCAACAATCTTATAGCCAGCATGAGCTGACTTGTGTATCCCTCCGACCCTGCCGGTAAATGGATTGTAGTGACAATTTGAAGAAATATGGTCTAAATAGATAGTGTATGTATCCTGACTTTTGATTGTGTTTATATGTTGATTGTGCTTCTTTCCCCCTTTGGGCTATCAAGCCATCCCCTTTCTATTTTACACTATGGGAATGCATCAGCTAAATCAATACAGCTGTGTTTTTACAGCCTTTGTCCCCATAGAGTAACAGACAGTTCCCACCACATGAACAAATCACTGGTTAATAATGCCAGAGTACCTGTGTGAATGAGCCCTTAATTTTTTTTTTTTTTTTTCTACAATTTGTTTATTTTTAACAAATGTTTTAACAACCCTGTTATGAAGGGGTGGTTGGTGAAGCATCAGGGGTCTAAACAGACCCCCGATGTCTTACTTTTGGAACAGAGAAAAAGATTGATGACATAGATCACCAGTCATTTCTCTGCAGTCTCCGCTGCAATGCAGATGAATGAACAGGAAGATGCATATGAGTGAACAGGAGGTGCTCTATACAGAGGCTCCTGTTCATTCACAAACTGAGACCTGGTAAACCGTTTACTGTGCTTAAGTTACAAATGAACACAGGGAGTCATCACTGTGTTCATTCAGGAAAGGAAGGGGCTTGTAAATATGACATATTTACAGGCCCTCCACTCTCCATCCTGAAATGATCCCCCTGTGTGCCCGCAGTGAATAACAGCCAGTGGGAGTGAGAGAAGGGGTGGCAGTTACTTAAACTGATCTCCTGTGCTCCCCCCACAGCAGATGAATGCTGGCGGAAGAGAGAGAAGAAGCCATCTGTGCCACGGGGGAGCCAATGGGTAATCAGTTTCAGGGATTTCCCTGCACCTACTCACCGATTTAAATTCTCTTAAATCATATCTGTGCTTTCTATGGAAATTAGAAAAAAAATCTAAATATATTGAAATGATTAAAGGTTATTGTAAATAAGAGAACAGGACTGACTTGGACTAGCAGTGAATTTCAATTAGGAAACTTAAGATGCTAGATCTAAGCTATAGGTGATAAAAATGGGACACATTATACAGAACAGTTAATAAATGGTTAAATGCTTGTTGAGCAATGATAGAATGATTTGCAGAGGGCACTGAGCCTAATGGGCACTGGCAGTGTAAGGGGGATAATAAGCAAAGATGCATAGGATAGATGAATGAGTGCTACTTGCATATTTATTGCTATCTCCTATATTTAATGAAAGCTGCCTGACTGGATTTTTTTCTCTGCATGTTAAGGGCATTCCAAGTAAGTAATCTGTGGTATTATAAATCATGTCACGCTTCTGGGCTACTTGGGCCACTTGGTATTGGGGGCTAATATTTTGCTGTGCCAGGCCATTATTTTTTGGGTTGGATTAGTACATTTATAGAGATTCTAGGCCCAGGGACTTGCCTAATAATGGTACAGCAACCAGGGAAGTGGGATTATTTTCAAAGTAGCTATTCTACTCCAGACAAGATATGAATAGGACTTTAATGAAAATAATGTATTAACATAAACAAATTTGCCTTTACAACCATTTTAATGTACAAAAACCTTACAATAGCCGTGCCCCCCGCTTTTATTTTGTAGGTTCGGGCAAAATTTCAGTTGAACGTTTACAGGGAAAACCCTTAAATGCTATATCAGTTGACCCAAAATTGACTCAAAGACCCTAAATTTTCACTTTAATATACTCTAAGTCTATCTTTCTTGGCAGAAATAATTTGACTTTTCTGGATATGATCACCGTTGAGGGTCTTGGAGCAAGAGAGATGCTGCGTGTTGGAGGAAGACTGCCAGGAGTTAGTGGTTCCCTTCGATTCAAAGTCCCAGAATCCACGCTAATGGATTGTAGACAACGTATGTAATTTTCTTAATATTGGTTTTCACTGTTTAACAAGAGTGTAAAACTTACAAAACATTTTTTTTTAATTTTTCTGCAGAGTTAAAGGATAGCAAGCATGTTCTGTCCATCACAAAAATGTTTAAGGTTGAAAACATTGGCTCTCTGCCTATGACTATTGTGGCCATGAAAATTAATGGATACAACTGCCAAGGGTTTGGGTTCGAAGTTCTAGGCTGTCATACGTTTTCTCTTAGCCAGAATGCCTCCCGGGAAATCAGCATTGTGTAAGTGTCCATGTTTTCATGATGATAGTCTGTCAGCTAGGCATAAAGTAAATGTCATATCTATTGATTTCAAGTGTGCTTATTAGTGCAATAAAACAGATTTACCAGTACTTAGTTCTGCCAGCTAGCAAAAGTACCTATTATACCTGTTGCCAACTGTCTAACTCATGTGAGTCTTGACGTCTATGTGCTGCACATATGTGTCTGCAGTACGCTGCTGTTCTGCACTCACTGTGTGGTGCCAGCACACTGACCAGCTTTCACAGTTTGACTGGGAAGGAAATGGAAGAAGAAGGCACTTCTAAGTGCTATAAGTCCAGTAACTTTAAAGGAAATGGTTAAAAACACTTACAGCAAAAGTAAGGGTACAGGCTCATCAGTGTATCATCGTAGCGGGGCCCTTGTCTCACTGTGAAGCAACCCATAGTGCTGGCCAGCAGCTGTGCCAGTACATGTCATGCATAGGGGAAAAAGGAGGTGCACTAATGCATTACTGTCTAGGCCATGCAAAGAGGGAGGAGGTGGTGAAGGGGTTAATAAACTGGTTACATACAGTGGCAGGATGGGAGATGAAGAGGTAAATGTCAATGTGCAGGATCCAAGGGAGCTGTAGGGTTAAAGTAGAACTAAAAGGAATTTTTTATTTTTTTTTAAATTATGAATTTTTGGGTAGAGGAAGGAAAGGTCACAGCCCCCTGTTAGTTTTTTTTTTTTTTTTTTTTTTTCTGTGTCCCATTGGGAAAATTTTACTTTCCCATAGCCAAAACAGAAACTTAGAGGCAATTCCTCTAAAGTGAGGGAATCCCTGATTGTTATTAAGGTCACCAGAACTAGTGTCCCCACTGGAAGATTACCACTGGCGCTTTCAGTGATAACCGTAAACAGGACAGATAAAGAGGGTGCTTATCTCTAATGGGAGCGCAGATGGCAATAAACAAAAGATTTGTTCTAATCCCCTTTCACTCTGACCGCAAGTTGAAAAAAAGAAAATTACCTTTTTTATTTATGTAAACCGCTTTATTACATTGTGACTACTATGAATGGTAATCGCATCAGTTTGGAGCAATGTGTCTGTGTGTCAGGCGTTTAGTGGCAGCTCGGTATACAATGATATGCTGGAGGAATAGCTGCCTGCAGTCCTTTTTCCTGAGTATGATTGCAAACTGTATAATCGTAGCTGGTGGACCTCATAAATTTGCAGTGAACGGTCTTGTCTTTCAGTTGGGAAGGTGAATTCTTCATGTTTACCTAGATGCCTGCTTGCTAAATCTGATGCTAACTTTAATTTAACTATGTGGATCTACATTTCAACTTTATGAACTTGTTGGAAAATGAGCATATCATAGTCTATTGTTGTGTCTTGCTATAATTTGTACACAGACAGAAAACTAACGGTCTTTCATCTTGCACTGGACAGGTTCATTCCAGACTTCACATCATCCTGGGTAATACGTGAACTCACACTAGTGACTGCTTCCAATCTGGAGTTTCGCTTCACCCTCAATGTGACTCTCCCTCATCACCTGTTACCCCTGTGTGCTGATGGGGTGCCTGGGCCCAGTTGGGAAGAATCTTTCTGGAGACTAACCGTCCTCTTTGTTAGGTAGATAAAGATGGTCTTTTTAAGTAACTTTCCTGTATGCTTCTACCAAGCAGTTGGTTTCACAACTGTTTCCTTATGTTGATGTTTATCAATAGTAACACCAAGTGCTTAAAGTGTCCGTATTTTAACTATAGTCATAGCAACCAATGGGGCCCAGGGACAGAATGGGCATGGCAGGAACAGGTGTAGTCAAGTTCCAGCTCTTTGAAAAAATATTTGGTGGAACAGTGTGTGATATCACCGAGGTATGCAATGACATCCTGTCCATCTTTGCGCGTATGTGATGTCAGGAACAGTATGTTTGCATGTGCAGCACTACAGGCCAGTATCTCTCTGTAGGTTAGCCTCCCCACATGGCAGGATCCCATTTGTTGCCCTTGTTTACTGTTCTTCCTGAATAGTGTTCAAAGTGTTGAAAAGAAGGGGCATGTACATTTTGCTAGGGGGCTCCATTATTTGGTTGGCAGTTACGTATCATTATCTTTAACATCAGCATGTGAGATAACAAGAAAAATACTTTATAGTCAACCCATATTTTTGTAAGTGATTTGTTTATTTTATTTTTTTTTTGTTTTGCAGTTTGTCTCTTGTTGGAGTTGTTTTAATTGCCTTTCAGCAAGCACAGTATATTCTGTCAGACTTTTTAAAGATAAGACAAAGAAACAACTCCAGTTCGTCTCCCCAGCAGAATTCTAGTGCAGTTGATACAATCACCTCAGAATCCTACAGGTATGTTTGAAATTCTTTTTTTTTTTTCGGTCTAGCAAAAACTATACTGCTTATGTCTTGAATTATATTAAGAGCTCCCACTCTGGATGAAAATAGCTTCACAAAATAGTGAATAAACAATATGATCATAGCTTAAAGTGGTTCTAAAGGCATGAGTTTTTTTTTTTTTTAACCTAATGCATTCTCTGGGGGGAGGGGGCAGCCTTGGTTTCATTTACGGGTGGTAAAATTATAGGGATCACTAAAGGTAAACTATCTCTTGAAAACGAAACCATTTCCAGAGCAGGAGCCCTTTAACGGGATGAGAAAAAAGGTGAGTTCTTTGTCGTTTTCTGCTCCCAGTGTAGACTTGTAAACTTTGTGTACTTGGCTACATATGTGGTTGTGTCAGCCCTGCTTTTTCTCTAGAACCAGATTTTCATTGTGTTGCAGATTAAAAATTGTGGCTGTTATGAAGTTTTATAATGTACTACTTTTTGATTGCACCATTACAGGGGCAGCTGTAAAAGTTTTACTGACTCCAGCAGTCCTCCTGATAAGGGGAAAGGAAAAGGCTACTTGGCTGTTGCTGCTGCTGTACCGGTCCGCAGCCAGAATGCATCCAAGAGGGGTCCTGCTACTTACAGCCACTCTCAGAAGAAGCAGCACAAGTGCTCTGTGTATTACAGCATAAAACAGAAATCAAGCAGTGTAGTCACTAATACAGCAGCTTGTGACACAAGCCAACCAATCAGTCCAGACATGCGACCTCCCTCTCCAAAAGACTCTACTTATAGTGACGCCCTAGCTGAAAAATGGACAGATTTGGACTCTGTAGACAGCATGGATACGGGTAACCAAAAGCACTTAACTGGCTCAGACAACAGTCTGGGTAAAGAACAATCTGCACTGCTATCCCCCCCATTTCTCCCACAGAGAACTGCATATGAAAGCACTTTTAAGGAGGAGCCAACAATTAGTATGTTTCCTATGGAAACGGCTTATAAAACGTCAGAAAGCATGACTGAGCCTAAAAAGAACTTTTGTGATTTTTCTTCTGTATCCGGTAAATTACCTGAAGACCTCATATCCAGGAGTCTGCATAAGTCACAGACTGAACCACAGATTGTTCCTCGGAAGATGGAGGGTAATTTTTTTTGTATTCTTATTTCCATTGTTATTGCAAAAAGCACTTGTTTAAAGATGAATTTCCAGGCATAGTATATTTTTACAGCTTGGACCAGTGTAACTATCGAGATTTAGACAGGCGCTATTCTGTGATTGCTTTGAACCCTCTGAATGAATGCAAAGCGTTTTCTGATTGGATAAGGTATAGAGCGTGACATCACTGCCCCTCCACCTTGTCCAATCAGACAACACTTTGCATTTGTTAAGAAAAATCATTCTCAGGATGGTACCTGTGCTAAGCAGCTGACTTCCTCTGTTCAGAATGCATCAGGCCAGCCACTCAGCACGGGACCCGAAGGTGAATGGAGATCACTGGAGTACTGTGTCTGCTTCCTTGACTTCCATCTACCAGGGCCATTGGACCAATGTAACTATGTAAAAAATATACCATACCTGGAATTCATCTTTAATGATGCTCTTAGATATTGGCTTGCTTTTGGATGATTATTAACTAATAAAACACAGTTTTTAGTGTATGAGGGAGTGGAGTGCCAAGTGGCTTTGCAGATATAGGGGTCAATTTGCTAAAGGTTACTGCATGTGAATACACTGTCACGTGACTCATTTGTATAAAATATCGCATGCTGTAACAAAATGTCCAATTCACAGAAAAAAAAAATTAGTAAAATTAAAAATGTGTCAGTAAACACTGCAAAAAAACATGCAGTAAGCTGTTAAGTCCAATTCACAAACAGAACAGAAACTAAAACGATGCGATATTTATCACCAAGGTTTTCCTGGCAGTATCAATTGCGGTATTTTTTCAGATGCACGCCAGACCCAGAATCCCTTAGAATTGTGAAGGAACCTGCACGCCTTTTTTTTCGGGGGTGTGGGGTTTTGCCTTAAAATCCATACCAGACCCAAGGGCCTGTTATGGATTGGGTAGGTGAGGGAGCCCGTCCCCACACTGGTTTTCATCATTTGTAATTGCTGGCATGTTTTTTTTTTTTTTTTTTTCATTCAACTGTCAGTGGGACACCTGCTGACAGCTGATAAGTCAGCTGCAGTCGGCTTCCTTAACCAGTTACCATGCAATTAAATTACCGCATGAAAATATGCGATAATTACTGCAATACACATAATGTACCGCAAGAGTTATTTACTGCAAAATTCTTTGTGAATTGCACATTTGCAAAAAAATTTACCGCATTTTTTCAGTCGTTATTTAACTCTTAGCGAATTGTCCCCATAGTCATCTTACCTTTTTTTTTTTTTTTTTTTTTGTGCTTTCAGAACATGACATGAACATTTTATTGTTTACAATCAGCTTGTCAGCAGTCTTTGCTATCTGATAACATTTATATTCAGGCTTTTTTGAGCAATTTAATGCTGGTGAAAGTGCAGGCAAAATACCTCAGATCTAAAATCCTTGCAGTCATTGGCATTGTTCTCAAAATGTAGCATTTGTTTTTCTTTCATCGAGGGACACAGAACAAGACCGTCGGGTACTCCTGCCTACAGAAAGATTGGACTGGTAAAAAAAAAAAATTGTGGACCCAGCCCACTATAACCCCTCCTGCTTCAGCATACCTCAGATGTATACTAGTGTCCTAGGAGGATGAACATCTTTTCTCCTCTTTGCAGAGAAAAGGTCTAACCTTTTTTCATCACTATCCTTTTTTTTAAATTCTAAACCAGACTCCTGCTTCATGCAGGTATCTGGTTCTGCCTCTCCTCATCTTTGGAGTGCTGTACCTAGATCCTGCTAGACCATATTTTGAGGGGCTAGCCTGATATGTAACATTTGGGCACTGGCTTCTGCATTGAGGTGTTCCTAGGCCTGTGCGTACAGGTAAGAGTCGGCAGAAATGCACTTTACGGGTCCAGACCCATTTCATTGCTTTAGAATTATCCTCCTTGGAAGACCTGCCTTGTGAGTCAGCTGTGTAGAATGTCACAGGAGCTCCATGCTCTTTTTCTCCATCATTCAGCCTTAGGGAATTACCTTCACATTGCTGCTCCTACTGCAAGAGATGGGTGGAGCTCTTCTCTATGCCTGCCTACAGTGACTAGGTTCCCTTTGGCTGCCTGACCCTAAACCTGCTTCACAAGCACCCAGGATAGTGGGTACCTGAGGCCTTGCCTTATACCCTGAGCACATTACCTTCCACCTTGTGGTGCCACATGTCTGATTCTAGACACACAGGGAAGCTGTACCTGGTGCCTTCAGCTCACACTTCACTAATTGTTCTGGGCCTGCCTTCAGTGTCCCTCCTGAAATGCCTGATGCTGATTGACCTAGAATTTCTGCTCTTTTAGTCTACACCATCTTTGGTGTCTTCTTTAACTCGGTTGTGGCCACTTCTCCGCTCTACCCAGGGAGGATATGACTGCAGTCATGCAGGACTTTAAGCCACATAGCATTTCTGATTGCTGAGCATGACTGCAGAGGCCATTAGATGCTTGGGTGCAAGTGCTGGATTCCACAGGCTATGAGTAAGGGTTTTATTTCCAGCCCCCTCCCCGATTCATTGCTTCCAACCTTCTTCTGTCATCACACAGCATAGCAGATCCTTATATAAGCCCCGGTGGACCTTCTGGTGCAGGGTGTCACTGCTCCCTGTCTCTATGGCAGAATGATTCAGGGGTTCTACTCTAACCTGTTCTTAGTTCCTAAACCTGAAGGGGACATCTGTCTCATCTTGGATCTCAAGGCTTCCAAGGTCATTATTTAGGCCAAAAAATTCTTAATATAATCCACCCAGTCTATTAGAGCTTTCCTTCATTGGGGAGACTTTCGTGCCTCTGTGGCCATCAAGCATGGGAATCTGCATATCTGTTTTTTTTTGTTTCGTTTTTTTGTGGATCACCGATTCCTTTGCTTTGGGACCCTCTGCACTTAGTTTATGGTCTTGCCAATTGGCCTGTTATTTGCACTGTGTGTTTTCACCAAGGTGCTCTGCCCCTCTGCTAGCTTTGCTGCACTCTCAGGGCATCCACATTGTGGGATGTTTGCACAGCCTCCTGCTGAAGGTTGAAACACGTTGTTGACAGGTTTGACCGTGCTGAGGTTCGGCTGGATGCTAAATCTTCAAAGGTCAGCACTGAAACACTCATTGCTTGGAATGGAAAAAAAAAATAGAGGTGCTGGACTTGAAACTATACATAAACCATCACCATAGACAATGATGGATCATAAGAGGTTAATACAGGACACATATGGTTTGGCTCTCCATTTATTTCAAAATTACATCTTAAATTTTTGGTGAATAACTCTTAACCTCCAACTTGGATAAAACCAGCAACGTTGTCGGGCTACAACCAAAAGCTCTGGACTATGCGTTACCAAATGTCCCCTAAACTCAGTTAAGCTACTTGACGACAAGAGGTTAGTGGCAGGCAGAGATTAAACCTCCTTCTACTGACACTAGTCTTCTGCTGCTGAGCTACCTAATTAAAATGCATGACTGAATTTGATGACTTTTAAGTGCTGCCTTGAAAAAATGCCTGCCTGCCACTAAGCCCTTGTTGCTAAGTTGCGTAACAGTTTACATGCTTGTCCTGTGCTTACATGTATGTTGGGTATAAGTTACAATCTTCCAACCTGGAGGGGTTTATTAGCCCAGCCTGTGGATTTAATTTACTATACTATCGATGTCTTCATAGAAATTACTTCATGTGAAAGTTCAATAAAATTTGAGAGGGACATGTTCTATCATTTGCATAATCTGTAATGTTTGGGGGTTACTATAGTGGGCATTTGGTGATATGTGGTCTGGACCTTGTCGGTGTAGTCTGACAACATTTGTCAGTTTTATCTTGGTTGTGGATTAGGGTTTGTTATAAATTATAAGATGTATTTTTTGGGACTAATGGTGAGCCAAACCACAAGAGTCCTGTTTTCACTTCTTTTATATTTCATCACTGTCTATAGTGATTTATGCTGAATAATTTTTTTCTATTCGGGACACTATCTGATTTAGATGCATTTGGTAGGCTGTATTTTTGCTAGATGTTTTCCCATATTAACTTTCTCTAGCTCTGGACTTGAAGCTCGACTTTCTTCAAATACAGGCTGGTAGTATTTCATCAATTGGCTCTTGGCTGCTCAGAATACAGGAAGTGAGAAAACAGTCCCACAGATTGAGAAGTATACATAAATGGCAGAAACTCAAGTGCCAAACAATCAGTTCATACATTTTATTTTTATTGTCTTATAAGTGAAGTCACAGCCAGTGCAAAACATTAGTCAACGTGTTGTAGGACCAAAATAATCCCCGTTCATCAGGGCTCAGTTTGCTTGGTAGAGTTCTATTTTGGTCTGTGGGGAAAAAAACCTCCTGGATGGATTTCTTAAACACAGGCACATGTTTAGCGCTCAGTGGCTGTATAATAGTTGCTGGTTTCCTTAAGGTTTTATCAAAGTCCATACTGGAACTCTAGCAACCTAACCTGAGTCCTGATGAAGGGGTAATCCTTTCCCACCAAAATGCTGAGGATATATGGGCATTTGAGCTGATTGTGAGGAGTTTTTCTACTGTTCATCAATTGGGATATCTGCATCTAATCTTAGACACAGCTTAAGGCATAGTTTTTCTTACCCAGGAGAAACTACAAATTCTTCACTCCCAGACTCACTTTTCACTCCAGGAATTGTCCAACTTGCTTCTACGTAAAAGTCTTAGGGCTGATGGTACCCTCCTTCTGGGCAGTCCCATCTGCTTAGTTCCACTCCAGGACCCCTACAACACAACACCTTTATGTCATGGGACAAGCCAGTCTAGTCCATGCTGTTGGCTCAGAAATGTGGCTCTGAAGTCAGAATTCCTTTGGAACTTCTAGAAGATTCTCATGACTGCCAGCCTGTTGGACTAAGGCAACGTTCTGGCAGTTTTGTTGGTGCTGGGAACTTGAACATTGGAGAATTTCTTCTACCTATCAACTTTCTGGAGCGTTGGGTGATTTTGGTTTTACCTGCAACCCTACATTCCCGGCTAGAGGGTCAGCCAACCTGAGTTTAGTCTAACAATGCCACAGAAGCGGTGTACATCAGCCATCAGGAAGTAACCAGATGCACCAGCCTTGACTGCCATCTTACAGGCAGACTTCAGCCTCCAGGGTCTGGATGCAGTGGAGTACTCTCTATACCAGGAGGTGTTACAGGACCTGTGTGTCAGGTTGGGAACACTGGATGTTGACTACCTAGCTTCCAGGTTCAACATTAAAGTTTGTCTCAAGGTACATAGATCCTAGCAGAAGCCATGTGGATGCTCTGGTGTCTTGGTGGGATCAGTACTCCCTGATCTACACTTTTCCTCCCCTGAAAATCCTTCGTCATGTGCTTCACGCTATGCAGCATCAAGATGGAGGATATTCTGGAGATCCTCATAACCCAGAAAGGCTCAGGTGGATGTAGTACATTGACCTGGTGAGACCTGGAAGATGCTTTCAGATTGTCCTCATCTATCTGTTACCCATTTACCAACTTGCTTTACGGATGCTGAAATGAATGGCATTGCTGTTGAAGCTCATGTTCTGAGGGACAGAGGCATCTCTGAATCAGTGACTGGCTTTGTCATTCCTGATGATCCTTAGGAGAAAACTGTCTTTTGTTTCACCATTTCTCTGTGGCCTGGAAAAACCATTATTCAAGCTTGGTTTCTCCTTTCATGACCAGGTACAATCTAATAGCTGTGCAAAAGCCTGTTGCTTTTTGGCATCAAGCAGCTGTTGCTCGAATTTGCAAGGCTGCCTCCTGGTGGTCTTCTGTTCTCACAGTCTCCAAGTTTTGCCAGGTTGGTGTTTAAAGAGTAACTCTTTTTGTGGGGGAAAAAAAAATTGACAAAAAAAAAGTATACTTGCTACGCAAGTCATAATGTAATTGAATGTTATTAAAAATGACCTTTCCTTTTCAATCTGCAGCGCTGTAATTTCCTGTAAAATGTAATATGGCTACCTGAAGAAGTTATGTACACAGGTGGTGTACAGAATGCCCCCCAGATATGTAATTTCCAGCTTGTGTGATTGTCTGACTGATTTTTCCAGAAGTCTGCACTAAGATGCAAGTCAGATTTTGAGCATCCACTGCAAAAAAAAAAATCTAATTTTTGGTTAGGTACTCCTAAAAGGAAAACGCGTCTAAAGGGCTGGAGGCCCAGCAGTTTTCCTCATTAGAGCCATGCAGGTGAGGCAGCTGATAAATAATTACGTCCCTACCATATAGATTCACTCTACACATGGACAAACCGCTCTGAAAGGTAGGGATCTGAAACAAAGTTTGTTAAAATCCTTGCAATCTACTTAGATCAGCCAGAGGGGAATGTAGTTGTTTTTTTTGTTTTTTTAAACAAAACTGAAGTTACTCTTCAAGACCACTCCGGATGCCATCTTCAAGTGTTAGGTCCTTCAGGTTGCTCTATAAGCTGCAGAAAGTGCCCAGTTCTGTTTTAGTGTTTTGTTTGTGTTACCCCTCAGTTGGACTTCTTTTGGACACCCTGACACTCTTTAATTTCCTGTGTCCTTCAAAAGACGAGAGAGAAAATGTGATTTCTGTACTAACTGTAAAATCAATTTCTTGGAGTTTGTTGAGGGACACAGGCCCCACCCCTCTGTGTTTATCATATTTTGGTGTACTTTTTTACCACGTAGCAGGGGCGTGCTGAGCATAGAAGGGGTTATCCTGGGCTGGCCCTCAAGGTGTCCAATCCTTCTGTAGGCAGCAGTATAACCCAACAGTCTCCGAATTCTGGTACCAGTCAGTGGACCCCAAAAATGGGTTGTACTAGAGGTGCAACAATGCCATCTTTGCAGCTCATCAGTTCTTGAATGTCTTGGCAGCATTCATTTGACTAAATAAGAGAAGTTCACTGTTGGGGTTTACCTAAGGTTCAAAAGTTAACTAGACTGCAGGATTAGACATTTTTACTCTATTCCTTCTTGTTCTGCATATACAGTAGGGATGTGGGCTTTGGTTTGCAGCCTAGGTAAGAATTGTTCAATAATGTGATATTTTTCAGCAGAACAAGCTGTCTTGCAGATATAGAGGAGGGTTGAGACAAATCATTTAGCACTGACAGGGATGCTTACAATGATCAGCTTTTTATTTATTTAAAACCTTTATATCAAAAGGACCAAAACTTTTGCTGTATCTGCATATAGTTATCTGGTGTTTGTCTTCAATTTGTTTAGTGACTCTAAAACTTCTAGTACATTTAACACTCCCCTTCCCGCAACTAGAAATTGCTGCTGTCCAAAGGTGTTTTGTTGCCCCTTCATCCAGAATGTAGGCGCTCTAATACAAGAGGTGTGTTACTGGATAGATCACCAGGTGAAAATAGTGGAAAAAAAGACAGAAAAAAAAACCAAATGCAGTTATCAGTTCTAATGTTTGGTAAGCAGCAATGTTAAATTTTGGTTTTAGGTTTGTTGCTTTGTTAATGCTTGTCTATCCCACCACTTGCGCCACCAAGCTTTGCTCTCATGAGCTACGGTGGCTGAAGAATCTTTAGTGTCTGTCATGCTTCCAGGTGTGTTAAATGCTTGGTCCCCTGCTAGATGCTGTGGTTCCATTTATTGCCCCCCTTTTTGTGTCTTCTGTGTACAGTATTGATGTGCTAACGGGTCATACTGACAGTAGGAGAGAAGAGCATGACAGACATTAGCTTAGACATCGGTCTGCTGTAGTAGAGAAAAATCTGGACTTTCAGGAAATCTCAAGATACTGTTGTGGTAGAACTGTGTAAATTTCATAAATGAATAAACAGAAATACTTAAAACAAGTTCTATAAATGTGTTTCATCAGTGTATCTCGTTCAGCTTTAAATCAAAAGTAGGTTTGAATGTAATCAAATATCGCTACAACCATTAGCTTACTGTGGATGTCTATTGGTCTGGAACTTAAAAGAAATATGGTTATGTTAGCCAGCTTAATATGATTGTCACTTAAAAATAATTTGGGCTTCAGGCCCAACCTCGTAAGAAAAAGATCATTTTGGTATTAAGATTGTATGCCCTGAGTTGAATATTTTGTTCTTCGATCTTATAAATATGTGGTATTATCCACTTTAATACTTCTTACAGGGAACAAGCATCGTATTTCCCTTACAGCACACAAGGAATGTGTTGAAACGCCCAAAAAGTCAACAGACAGAGAAGCTTCTGCAGATAAGAATCCTCAAAACAGCATAAGGGAGAAGACCTGTGGTAAACCAGATGTGTCTCCATTCAAGGTGTGTTTTTATATTGTGCTGTAGCTGTAGAATCTCTCACAGATACTGACGACAGACTTTAAGGCTGGATGAACAGTATATGTCAAATCTCCACCCCCCCCCCCCCCGTACACTGATCAAAGGCTGATTTTCAAGCAGGACCGGGGCGATTGGACCGGTTTCTGTTGAACAGAGAATAGTACACACATACCGAAAGCTATCCGGGTCCCAGTGTAAATTTTTTGTTGTAAAATTTTGATTTCGTTTTAGTCATAGTCTTTTGACTAAAATTACCATTTTTAGTTGTATTTTAGTAATCTGAATTGTTTTAGTTTATCATATTTTAGTCTCCAGTACATTGTAGTCGACTAGAATCTAATGGGTTTAGTTAAATTGGCATGCATTATTTAAGCATTTCTTTAGATTTGCCAAACTCATATACGCCTGGAATAAAAATCTAATAACCTGTTATTTATGGTATTAAATTTATGGTTTAAAGTATTAAATCCTCAGCGCAAGGGTTGGCACACAGCAGGGAGGCAGAACTCTGGTGGGCAAGGGGTAAGTCCAGGTTAGATCCTCAGTGCAGGGTTTGGCACACAGCAGGGAGGCGGAACTCTGGTGGGCAAGGGTTAAGTCTGGGTTAAATCTTTAGCGCTGGGGTTGGCACACAGGAGGCAGAACTCTGGTGGGCAAGGGTTAAGTCTGGGTAAATCTTCTGTACAAGGGTTGGCACACAGCAGGGAGGCAGAACTCTGGCGGCCAAGGGTTAAGTCCAGGTTAAATCCTCAGTGCAGGGGTTGGCACACAGCAGAGAGGAAGAACTCTGGCGGGCAAGGGTTAAGTCCAGGTTAAATCTTTAGCGCAGGGGTTGGCACACAGCGGTGAGGCAGAACTCTGGCGGGCAAGGGTTAATTCCAGGTTAAATCTTCAGCTTTTTTTTCTTTTTCTTTTTTTTTTGATCTGCAGCATTAGGTTAATTTTCCATGTCCTCACTCTGCTTATGTTGTTCAGTTCCCATGTCAGGCAGAAGTTTCATCATCATCCAGTGTTAGGTGGCTCTTGGGCTGCAGGCAGTCTCCAGTTGTGTGTTTTAACTACCTAACAATATAGGACTTTCTGTGTTCCTCAATGGAGGAAAGGAAAAATAAATTAAGATTCTTTTTGGGAGTCCACTGAGGGACACAGGTCCCACCCCTTTTGGTACTTTGAGGCATGTTGGATACAGGTGTGGGGGTCATCATGGGCTTTTTTTTTTTTTTTTGTGCCATTGTCCAGTCCTTGTGTAGGCAGTAGTATAACACAACTGTATACCTTTCTGTGTCCTCAGAGTCCAAGGAGAGGATTTTTATAGTGTGTAGAAAATTCCTATTTCTCTCTACACATTTGATTTAATTAAGTGTTCTTGCATGGCAAGACCACTTACTGTTATTTCACATATATATTCTTATTATTATAGCCAAATTTAGCACCCTAACTCCTCCCACAGTTTTTACACTACATAGACAGTAACATACCGAAACATGCAGATTGTTCCCGATTGGTGTGCTATTACTTTGTGGAACGTTTTGCCGAATGGTTCACGAAATATCGGCGTTTTTGTGGTGAAATTGGTCCCATAGGAATGAATAGCAGAATGTTCAAAACTAGAGTGGGAGCTGACAAAAGCTAGAGTGTGAGCTGAAAAATCAGAACATGATTTGTAAACTGCCATCACTCCTTCATTTTAAAGCCCACCTACACAAATCTTATATCAAAACGTTCAGCTATCCCTGCTGCCACTAAAAAATGACCACTGCTAAGCCATAGTCCTGATAGTTTTTACAATATGACCATTTGTTTGCAACTCACGGCGCCCATTGACATTAACTGAAACTCCACTCTAGCCACCTCAAACTTGAAGGGCAATTTCTAAACTGTGCCTTCATTTTTAATATTTCAGAGACATACTATGCATCAAAATGTAGGTCTGGGTCTTGTGATTCTCACAATTTAAAGCTCTTTGCTGTAGGATTTATAGTTTTTAATACTACGACCATTTGAAGACGCCAGTGAAGTGAGCAATTTGGAGCAGTTTGTTTTTAACCGCTCTTCTCTGCCCTATTTAAAATCTAATTTTGAATTCGTGACAGTTTCGCCGGCTTTGGTTAAAGGTTTGGAAATAAGTTTTCTACAGTAGAGAGTATTTGAGGTGATAATGCTGCAAATGTTTTTTTAAACATATGTTTTAATGTAACTGTGAAGCACTTTGGGCAACAACATTGCAATTAAATGTGCTATATAAATAATTAAAAGTTGAAATGCATTTCTCACTCTATCAAGCTTGCCATGTGCACTTTTTAAATTTGATCAATCAATTGGTTAGTGTAATGTTTACTATCTTTACTCCAAACACTGCACACAGTTACTCTGCTCACTCCATAAAGTCACTCTGCCCAGTCCAACCTTTTCACAGCCACTCCAACCACACAACAGTTACTCAAGCCACTCCACCCATTACTCCGCCCACTCCAGTTGTAGACTACTGGTGGAGGCAAGAACACTTCACACAATTTCCCCAGAAATTGTAGTTTTTCTAGTTCTTTTCTGTTATGCAACTTCCCTTAATGCTCTGTACACCCTCCCTTATAATGCTTCCCTCAAACTGTATCTAGGTCTTAGATATCTCATACTGGAGATGCACATGGTGTAAAGATTTGAACTACTTGAGCTGCATGAACTCTAGATGAGCAGAAAAAACACCATTTATCTATTTTACGTGGAATATTTGTCTTAAATGAAATTAAAATGGAAGCTCAGCCATAACTTAACTAACTCGAATCCTACTTTCAGCCACATTCTAGACCTAATCTATCTAGCCCTGTAAAGAAATCGTTATACATACTTTTTCTGAAGCCGATCCTGTCTGGTCTCCAGTGGCAAATGCTGTGTGCAGGAGAGAACCAACAGCTGTGAAATACCTGAGAAGTGACTTCACCCAGAGTTACTATGGCACTTCAGTTATCAGCTTCCTCTCCTGCACACTCCCACACTCTAAAGCTGCCACTGACAGCTCAGCGTGGGACCGGAGCAGAACAGGTGTGTACAGCGATTTCTTCTTTACAGGACTAGATAGATTGTTTAGAATGTGGCTGCGAGTATGTTTAGTGTTAGATTTTGGCTAAACTTCCACTTTAATCATTGATTCTCTGAACATTCCATACATTAAAGAATGTTTTGTTTTAGTGATAATTACTGTGTACTTTTCATGTCAATTTTATAATGAGGGTTCTTTGTATCTTCCAGCAGGAGGAGCAGTTTCGGGGGAAAACCCCATCAGAGAAAAGAGAGAGTGTGTTTCCAAATTTAAATTGGAATAAAAACAGGACTTGTGCTAGAAAAAATAAAAAGAAGAACAGTGTCTTCCCAGCAAGGTACCTGTTTCTATTTATAGACTTATACAACAATGATTTTCTGTTCTGGTCTCAAGGGCATTTTTCAGTATTAAACTTAAAGGGAAACTGTACTGGTTTTAAGTCTGTTTTACTTATTTATTTACTTTTTGTGTGGATACATTTTTAAACTGATGGGTTTTACCACCACCCTAAATTTTGCGCAGTATACACACAATACAACTTGGGTTTGTATGTACATGTGATTTGTAGTGTAATGAAGAGTATCCTATTTGCTGCTGACTGTCAGTTTGGTGTTTTAGGATCTATTGGTGTTATCTCCCTAGATTCCTCACTTAGCCATATACCAGCTGCCTGCATGACAGATCCTTTTTTTCTTTTTTTTTTTTTTTTTCTGAACCTCTTTCACTGTATCTAAAACAAAAACCATTATTGCTATTACGTAAAACCTTGTCTGATATTGCACACCTGCCATTTTCCAATGCGAGTACCTTTAATGGCCAGGAAGTCTTGTACCAATTGCAAGCGCCTTATGGTTTTCGCTCTTGGGCAGTAAGTATAATGTAATAGTCAGGTCAGACAAAAGGTTACTGCTAACTTCTGTCATATATTAGGTTGAATATGGCTGGCCTTTCTTCTTCTATTGTACTGGGCAGGACTGTCATACCACTCATCTACTAATATGTTGTATATTAGCAATGTATGCATGTATTTTAGACAGCTTTCTTTAAAGTGCTATGGAATATGAAGGGGCTCTTTAAATTAAAGTGAATAACAGTTCTATTATACCATGGCAGGTATAGTAAGGAACAAGTGGGGAGACAATGGCTGGGCAGTGTCAAAGTAATAGGTTCTAACAAACTCCTTTAATAATCTAAAGATAGGAATGTTCTGACTTTAAAAAAAACCTTCAAAGCGTTTTCTTCCTCTTTAAAACCACCAGAGTTGCAGAACAAAGTACTTTGAAACACAGCTATCAAGATGTGGACAGACTAGAGCCAAGAGCTACACACAGAGGGAAAACCTGGAATGCTTTGCCAAATGGTGATGTCTGCAGGGTAGAACCAAAAAAACAGCAGAATGCCACCACGTGGGGATACAGGTATTCTGTCTGTTAAATAAGAACACAAATTGGATATTGCAAAGATATGTAACCACTTCCCATCCAGCATATAATAATAACGGCCGAGCGGGAGCGTCAACATCCTGGATGAATGTCATATGACATCCCCCATGGGCCGCGCTTTGACTTGATCTGTCACCCTCTGTGTCCACTGGACACAGCGGATGAGAGATCAGTATACCAGGCCACTTCTGGTACCATGTGATCGCTTTGACAGGGCCAATCACACTGCTTCTGTATTATGTGATAGTTGTGGCCAATCACAGCTTCACAAGAGTACACACTGGATGAATGGATGTCATTCATAAAAAAAGATTGTTTAGAACCCTGATTATCACTGTTATAAGCAATAAAAATACTGATCACCTCCCCAGAGTAGTACAGTGTCACTATGGCAACACTGTATTGCACTGGTCACAGTATGTCAAAAAATTGTAACGAAAAAACATTTACAAAAAATTGGAAAAATGTAAACACCGCTACACCAGTTATGATGACGCTGTACTGAATTGGTGACCAAAAACGATTCTGAAAAACACTTTCTTTTAAAAAATTGAGACAAAAATTACAACTTCAAAAAACTTGCCATGCCTCTTACTAAATACCTTGAACTGTCTGCTTTCCAAAAAGGGGGTCATTTGTGAGGTACTGGCATTTTTGGGCCTCAAGAAATGATGCCGTGAGTTGACCAGGATTGATTGAATTCCAAATATATATACCATAGTTTGTGGACTCAATATAACTTTCCTACAGACTAAATAATATACACTGACTTGTGTTATTTTTACCAAAGAAAGCAGTATCAATTTTTGGCTTAAATGTATTAAAAAAAATTATTTGCTAAATTTTATAACAGAAACAAAGAAAAAATGCTTTTTTTTTTTCTCTCAAGATTTTGTCTTTTGTTGTTTAGAAAAAAAAACCCATTGGTGAATAAATAACATCAAAATAAAAGTTGTATTAGTGTAGAAACACTGATAAAAATTTCAGTTAGGTACAGTGTTGCATGACTGAGTAATTCATTCAAAGTTTGACAGTGATGAAAGCAGAAAAATTGCCTGGGCCGGAAGGAGGTGAATGTATCCAATACTGAAGTGGTTAAAACTGAGGTCCTTTTTATATGCAATACATTTTAATTGCATACAAGCTGAAATTTTAAATGAGGCCTGTATTTAGAACACGTGATTATTACAGGTTACCTGCAGACTTTTAGTTCGACTAAATGATCTGTAAGGATTGCTGGTTGGTAACATTTAAGGTTTAGACTGCATACAAATTTTGTGTCAGGAAAAAGTTTTGAGCCTCCAGAAAGATGGCTATAATTGCAGCTATAAAGCAGTCATATTGCCTCATTGGAGTGATAGAACCAATGACTGCTCAGAAGAGCATTTATAGGTTAGCCGTGGCCTATTCTTGAACAGCAGTTTTTGACGATTTAAGTTTATTACAGCTTGTTGCTAAAGTCTATTTTTATGTCTGACGTGTCTATACACCTCTTTTCAGAATGTTATCAGATTCTCAAAAAGAAATCTGTTGAGAAGTTTTCTTCTGACTCCAGCTCTGAATGTGGCAGTTCTCGTGGCAGTGTGCGGGCTAGCCGTGGCAGTTGGGGCAGCTGGAGCAGTGCTAGTAGTTCTGATGGGGACAAGAAATCTGCCATTCCAAACAGGCTCTACTTCCCGCAGAGTAAGTGACTATCCCTGGTTTAACATTGTCAAACATGAAATCATTGCTTCATGTCTGTTCATGACAATATGATGTACTGTAGTAAGCAAGTGTGTGTAGATATAGATAGACTAGCTAGATGGCTAGAATAATACACACACGCACACAAAAGTCTTGTGTCTAGATATGTTTATGATGGTCTTCCAGCAAATAGATGGATATAGTCAGGTTTCTGTCTGTTTTTTTTTTTTTTTTTAGGTCCACTCATCCACATTTTGACTTAATCAGACAAAGTACAGGTTTGTCTGTCTTGCCAGTTACAGCTCTTAACTGGATTTAGTTAGCTACTTGAGAAGAATGTCTAATAGTAGTATCCTAACAGAGAGGCATTATTATTCAAAAAGGAATTCGTTTTGCAAGGGTTGTTGTCAGTATGGAAATTGCATACAGCTATTTTGCATACATTTGTTATATTGTTTTTTAATTTTTAGGAGAAAACGTGTCACACAGTAGTTTTCCTGCAGAGAACCCGATTTCTTTAAATCTGTCACACAGCATTTGTAACACAAGGTAAGACCCTTCAAGAAATCCTAAAATCTTAACACCAAAACAAACCTGTAATATATTACACGTTACTAGCCTTTAGATTTGGTGGCTGCATTGGTTTAATATTCAAGTTTTGTTTTTTTTTTTTCCCATTTCATTTGGTGATTCTGCCAGTAACACACTTCCAGTCCTAGGATGACAACACTTACCCTACCCTACTGTATCAGAACAGAAGCTAGAAAGGCCTCTAGGACTCAGCAACTTCATCCTCTCAGTAAAATAGAGGAACATGGTTCAGTAGCCCTCAGTGATAGCTGAGAACAATCTGATAATAGGTGAAACCATTAGATGAAACCAATATATTAGTGAAACCAATATAACAATCAATCTTAATCATACAGTACAGGACACAGGAAAGGTATTCATACACCATGGGTTATAGGTATGTACTTTTAGGTGATTGTACACTGGCAAAAGCCTTAGGACTTGCCCCCTTGGAACCTCCCATATAACCCTATCCCACGCCATGAGTCTTCAGTTCTGTACTAGTGTCTGAAATTGATAGATATATTCTCCTTGTAGAAAATCAGCCCTACCTTAACTAGTTTATGTTGGCGGTGGCCAACATCAGCCATCAAGGGGGCACCAGGAATCTGACTGCATTGAAAAAAAAGAACCAGATCATCCCATGGAAGCTTACTGCCCAGCAATCCAGTGGACAGCTGGATAAAGTATCCTCTCAAACGTCATTGCCTATATCAAGGGGAATGAGCCCTTGATTGAGATATCTTCAGTCTCATATGCCAAAAATGGGGGGTTCCAGATGCGGATATCCTAGCCTCCAGTGTGAACAAACTACCTTGTTGCCCAAACCAGGAATCCTCTAGCTCGAGCCTCAGATGCCTTAATAATCTTTTGGTCTCTGTTCAGGCTAATTTACACCTTGCCTAAACCCAAGTCCCATTTCTGCAAGAAGCCTTGGACTTCGGTTCAGAGGAAAAGTTTCACGGTTTCTACTTGAACCTCTTCACGGTTCTAAAACTGAGTGGCGCTGTTTGCCCCATCTTGAATCTTAAGAGGCTCAAAAAGCTTTTATGAGCGCTGAAATTCTAGATGAAATTTGTGTGGTCTGTGGTGACCTCTCTCTCCAGAAGGGAGATTTCCTGGCATCAGTAGCTATTGGGGATGCTTATTTGCATTCTGTGACTTTTCCACCTTGATAAAGGTTTCTGCACTTTGCAGTGGAGGACCGCCGCTTTGTGGCTGCTCTGTTTGATCTGTTTATAGCCTCTAATGTGTTCACTGACTTCTGATGGTGCAATCCACTTTTGCTATTGTAGACCAAAATGTCCTACACAGTGCACACTCTGTTTGGATGGTTTTTGAATTTAAAAAAGTCTGCATTAATTCCAACCCAGAAGTTGGAATATTTAGGCCTGACCTTAAATACCATCCAGGTGAAAGTAATGGCTTCTGAGAGCTCAGATGGACTTGCTCAAATTGCTGACAAATTCTTTGAAATCCCTTTGCATGAGGGATTAGGGAACAATGTTGTCCTCCTTTTGAGGTAGTGCCCTTTGCCAAGTTTCATTTTAGGCCCCTGCTATAGAATGTCTTAGTAGGATTGGACAGGAGGACGCAGTTGTTGAATTCCCTGATGCTGTTAACCCAAACCCCAGTACGAGACTGTCTCTTAACTGGTAGATCTTCTTGTGGAGATGGGAAAATAGTTTCTCCCTCTATCCTGGAGGGTCCTGAGGATGGATGACAACTTGGTCACCTTAAGAGAGGTCATTGCCCATTAACATCCTGTATTTGAGGGCAGTTCACTTTGCTCTCCTACATTGGTCAATGCTGCTGAAAGGCCTCCCTCTGAGGGTTCAGTCAGAAAATGCCAGAATGGTGGCACATATAAATCAAGGATGCACCAGACGTCAGGTAGGCCAGAAAGAAGTGGATATCATCCCGTTTTGGCCAGAACTTCATGTCACCACACTGTCCATAGTCTAGGAGGGAAAATTGGTAGGAGAATTTCCTTAGCTGTCAACTGTCGGGGGAGTGGGCTCTTCACCTGGAGGCCTTCAAGAAGCTATGTTGATAGTCTGGAACCCCAGATGTGAATCTTCTGGTGTCCTAGGTTCAATGCGTAGCAGGACAGGTTTGTTCCCAGGACCAGGGGTCTATGAGCATTCGCAGGGAATGCTCTGGTGACACCTTGGCACCAGTTCTCCCTAATCTATGCCTTCCTGCCATTACAGCTTCTACTTTGATTTGCAGGGTTCAAGTGGAATGAATTCTGGTGCTTCAGATTGTCCCAGCCTGGCCCAGGGGAACTTTGGTATTCATTGTGAACATGTCGTGAGGTCTGATTTTACATTCCTCTTTAGTCGCTGGCTTTAACGGCACACAGCTGTTGAAGCCAGTGTTTTGAAAAATGGGGTGGGGGGGGGGGGGGGTCTCGGATTTGGTCATTCCTACCTTGCTGAAAGTTTGGAACACAAAAGATTGACCACAGAACTTGGAGTTTTTGTTTTGATGTGAGGCTAAGGGGTATCATCCTTGCTAATATGTCATGGATCGCAGCTGGGCTTTCCTCTATTCTTGAGTTGATCAGGGACTGGCCTTGAGTACACTCAAGGGTCAGATTTTGGCTTTGGTGGTTGGTTTTCAGAGACTGATTGCTTCTCATTCCTTGCCTTTGTGCAAGGTATCGCATGTACTGTTCTACTGGTTAAGGCTCTTTGAGTCTATGGGATCTTAACTTGGTATTTTCTGTATTACAGAAATCTTTAGTCCTTGGAAAGACTTGGAACGTTTTTTTTTCCTGATTACTATTACTTTGGATTGTAGAGTTTCCAAATTGGCTGCTCTTTCTACAACTTCAGCTGTTTTTTTTTTTTTTTTTTTTTTTTTTTTTTTTCCCCCCCTAGAGTGGTTTTGTCATTTCAACCATGGACCATAAGGATGTTCTATGACCTCCGTTGTCTGAGGTTTCTTTATACCATCTCAGCTAGGACCAGTTGTTTGCTGTCCTTCTGTAATAAAACCTCATGTGCCAGGGAATTAAACTCTCCATACTTTGTATGTGGTCCATGCTGTTGAGTTGAAATCAAATGCTGCAGTACGTCAGATTCCCTTCTTTTTTTTGCTTCCGGAAGGTGCAAGGAAGCATCATGCAGCTTCCAAATTTTTCAGTTTCTCGATGGATCTGTCCGTTTATTTGAAGAGAAAAAATTCTGCAGAGAATGCTTCGTCGGCAAGTTTTGCAGGCTGCTGCGTATGGTTCTCTAATTTGTTTTGTTTGTTGTCTGACTTGCTGCACTCCCCTCATATTTGGTGCTTTGGGACCTATCGTAATGGACATGAAGATGCCCTGTGTCTTGGGATGCACAATAAAGTAAATGGAATTTTTGGTTTTCCTGTAAAATCCTTTTCTTGGCGTACATCACAGGATACAGAGAACCCTACCCTCTTCTTAGTTCATGGCTTGCTACAAAAACTGAAGCCTTGCCTACATGGGAGATGATATGCCTAGAAGGGGATTTCCTGTTTTTTTTTTTTTTTTTTTCCTACAGTATCTAGCCACCTCAAGGTGGCAGCATAACCCTGCCTTAATCACTTGGCCTCCAGAGGATTTACCTCCTTTCTGACCAGGCAAATTTTTGCGATACCTCTCTGCATTACTTTAACTGACAATTAGACGGCCATGCAACGCTGTACATAAATGAAATATATGTCCCTTTTTTCCCCCACAAAGGGCTTTCTTTCAGTGGTATTTGATCACCTCACCAATTTTTTTTGTGCTATAAACAAAGACTATAAGCAGATATCTGTATGACTTGCGAGCCAAGTTGTATCCACCAACTAACAGCCTCAAAAAACGTCAAAAAAATGGACACAATATGTCCCAAGTATAATTGGATCGCAAACACTTAACACACAACTACCACTGTGTCCATAAAGTTAATTTCTCATGTTGTGTTGCGCTCCTAATAATAGGTATCTCTTCTATACTCCTTATTCCTTAATACACCCACAATTGACAATGTGTAATTAAATGATCTGGTACACAAAAATATATAAAAATATGAAAAAACATGTGTATACAATAATTCAAAAAAATCTAAATATAATAAACACTTGTGTAGAGAATACCTCAATGTGAATATGATTCTCCTAAAAAATGCATGATATGATAGTATATACGTGATAAAAATTAAATAAACCAATATTACACCATAATTTGTGAAAACACAAAAAAAAATGAAATATATAAAAATATATATAAATAAAATATATATATAAATGAATAAAAAATATATATAATAATAATGTCCTTTAAATTCAGTGACTCTGTGCTTGATTTAATCTTGAATTGGTGACTTTTTGTGAATCCGTGACTCTCTGTGAATCCTATAATTAGTGCAGATGTATGCTCACCTCCTTATCTGCCTGCAATTAGGCTATAGGCGCTTGTGGTTCACCTCCTATGGAACCTGCTTGGATGAAATTCCTCCTTTATAGACTGTGAAATGTGGATATCCTTTATCATTAATTAGCCCATTCGAGATTGATCACTCCTTACGAAATTCAAATCCCCTTATGATCTCCTCTCCATGCGTTTCTCCATATGTGGGGACAAATTACCAAACATAGTGTTTTATCCTTTTAAAAAAAATTCCTGCTTTATTGCTTCCAAAAGGTACACTCACATTTGCTGTACAAGGTATGAGGCAATTTGTATATAGCGAGTAGTCCGCCGACCATCAAGTCATGCACCCGCCGTCTGTCAAACAATCCGGCTTTCTCCGAGTGACGTTACAGCCCCACCCCTACGCGTTACGCCACTGGTCACGTGGCTTCATCAGGGGGTTGTGATAGGTTAGTCACTCTTCCATTGCCGGCTTATATAGCACGGCCGCGCCATTTTGTTGTATATCTACAGGGAGCAGCCATGTTTTTGGGGGCACTTTCATTGCTTTATTATTATTGCCAATTGATACATATGTTACTCTTACTGCTATGTCTAACTCGGAGAAATACATTGTGACATGACTCTGCGGCTTGCCAGGATACAAAACGATCTTTTTAACATATAATGATCATAACACTTGCTTAATGCAAAACAATCTAATACCTAAAAAATGCATGTCATCGTATATATATAGATGTTTGTGTGTAACCACCTACATCCATAAAAAATTTTTTTATTAAATATTAAAATGTGTATATCAATAAAATATACACAAAAAGAAATGTATATATATGAAATAAAAATTTTTTTTTTTTTAAAATAAAAAAAAAAAATATATATATAAAAATAAAATAAAAAATATTCCATACAAAAGATGTTTTATATACAAACAATACTAATCAGAATAAGAAATCCCCTTTACAGCATATCTGAAATATAACATGCCAACAAACTAAAAAAAAATATATATATATAAAAATATATATATATGAAAGAATAATAAAATTAAAATAAATGCACGGATACTCCCACATGGATTTTAAACACCTATCACACCTTAATGAGTGGGCACGGATCTACCTATATCCATACATCAAAATGTGTGGTTTGCAATCAAAAAATATGGTATGTATGTCCTCCACTGTCCTGTATACTGCCTATATCAAAGTATCCCTATAAATGCACAATCCATCAAACATATTGTTATATATATTTGTGCGGCAAATGAGAGCCGATCTGACCTCACTAATGCTGATAATCCCCCCTCATTCACCGCACAAACACACAGATGCTCCTAGGTCAAGGCAAATCGGCTCTCATTTGCCGCACAAATATATAACAATATGTTTGATGGATTGTGCATTTATAGGGATACTTTGATATAGGCAGTATACAGGACAGTGGAGGACATACATACCATATTTTTTGATTGCAAACCACACATTTTGATGTATGGATATAGGTAGATTCCGTGCCCACTCATTAAGGTGTGATAGGTGTTTAAAATCCATGTGGGAGTATCCGTGCATTTATTTTAATTTTTTATTTTTCTTTCATATATATATTTTTATATATATATATTTTTTTTTAGTTTGTTGGCATGTTATATTTCAGATATGCTGTAAAGGGGATTTCTTATTCTGATTAGTATTGTTTGTATATAAAACATCTTTTGTATGGAATATTTTTTATTTTATTTTTATATATATATTTTTTTCTTTATTATTAAAAAAAAAAAATTTTTTATTTCATATATATACATTTCTTTTTGTGTATATTTTATTGATATACACATTTTAATATTTAATAAAAAATTTTTTTATGGATGTAGGTGGTTACACACAAACATCTATATATATACGATGACATGCATTTTTTAGGTATTAGATTGTTTTGCATTAAGCAAGTGTTATGATCATTATATGTTAAAAAGATCGTTTTGTATCCTGGCAAGCCGCAGAGTCATGTCACAATGTATTTCTCCGAGTTAGACATAGCAGTAAGAGTAACATATGTATCAATTGGCAATAATAATAAAGCAATGAAAGTGCCCCCAAAAACATGGCTGCTCCCTGTAGATATACAACAAAATGGCGCGGCCGTGCTATATAAGCCGGCAATGGAAGAGTGACTAACCTATCACAACCCCCTGATGAAGCCACGTGACCAGTGGCGTAACGCGTAGGGGTGGGGCTGTAACGTCACTCGGAGAAAGCAGCAAATGTGAGTGTACCTTTTGGAAGCAATAAAGCAGGAATTTTTTAAAAGGATAAAACACTATGTTTGGTAATTTGTCCCCACATATGGAGAAACGCATGGAGAGGAGATCATAAGGGGATTTGAATTTCGTAAGGAGTGATCAATCTCGAATGGGCTAATTAATGATAAAGGATATCCACATTTCACAGTCTATAAAGGAGGAATTTCATCCAAGCAGGTTCCATAGGAGGTGAACCACAAGCGCCTATAGCCTAATTGCAGGCAGATAAGGAGGTGAGCATACATCTGCACTAATTATAGGATTCACAGAGAGTCACGGATTCACAAAAAGTCACCAATTCAAGATTAAATCAAGCACAGAGTCACTGAATTTAAAGGACATTATTATTATATATATTTTTTATTCATTTATATATATATTTTTATTTATATATATTTTTATATATTTCATTTTTTTTGTGTTTTCACAAATTATGGTGTAATATTGGTTTATTTAATTTTTATCACGTATATACTATCATATCATGCATTTTTTAGGAGAATCATATTCACATTGAGGTATTCTCTACACAAGTGTTTATTATATTTAGATTTTTTTGAATTATTGTATACACATGTTTTTTCATATTTTTATATATTTTTGTGTACCAGATCATTTAATTACACATTGTCAATTGTGGGTGTATTAAGGAATAAGGAGTATAGAAGAGATACCTATTATTATAGCGTCTACAAATGGCGGTGTATATATATATACTGGATTTTTTTTAATTTTTTTATACTAGTAATGGCGACGATCAGCGACTTATAGCAAGACTGTGGCAGGCAGCCTGACACTGGGGAGGAACTGAATAACTGTCACTGACATTAATACAGTGATCAGTGCTAGTAAAAAGCACTGACACTGTACTAATGACACTGGGCAGGAAGGGGTTAACTTTTGGCCGATCAAAGGGTTAACTTTGTGCTGTGTGTGTATTTTACTATGTGCGCTGTTTTACTACAGAAACATTCTGCTTTTTATTTCTTTGCTGTGCAGAGAAATACAAAGAAGCATGTTCTTGATAGCAGGAGAGAGACCTGTGTTTATACATAGATCTCTCCCCTGTCGGCTTTACTCCGCAATCGCTGGGTGCCATCGGAGAATTTCAAGCCAGGACCCGGTGATTGACATCCAAGGGCAGCACATCCCCCTACCTAGAAATGCAAAACGCGTATATATACTTGATTTTGCGCAGTCTTGCCACCCTGTAGCAGTAGTTCTACTATAGGGCGGCGGGCAAGCGATTAAAGAATAAGTTCGCCTTTTGTACAGTGTTAATTTAGGGTGTAACATGTTACAGTACAGTACCTGCCCGCTTTCTTCCTATAGGCAATTGAACATCCATGCAAGCATGGCCTGTGTGTGTATGTATATAACATAACCTTCGGCTATCGTACTTCTCCTCTTTAGTTGTTAAAGGGGTCACATGGAGAACAAATGACTAACATGCTAGGACAACGGTTAAAAAGACCTTTAAAACGTTTATTAGGACTGAGCTTTCTAATTTTCCCCCTGAAATCTGTCAGCCAGAAATATCTGCTAGCGCAGATGATTTGAAAAAGCCAAATTCTAGCACAGAAGACCTAAGCTCTTCTGTAAAATAATTTGTATTTTTAAGTGTATGTGCTCTTTAAATGAGTCACTGAACTATTTTATACACTGGCCATCTTTCACTTGTAAACTAAAGAAAATGAACACCTCAGGTATTAATAATTGATTTGAGACATTCTGTGTGCTTATCATTGCAGTTCAGACATAAACACCATCTCTCACTATCCAGACATCTTGTCTTCACCCTTTTCGGAGGCCTCAGATGCTGAAAAAACTAAAGGTACAGTGAATGTTGTCGTTTTCTGATTGAAGTGTAACTAAAGGCAACACTTGTTTTTCATTTTGGATAGAGTAAGGGAGTGTTATAAAACCTGTCATTTTTTTTTTTTGTGCGTGCATAGGGGAGATTTCCCTTCACTTCCTGTCCTGTAGCCAAAACTGGAAGTTAGAGGAAGCCCCTTCAAAGTGTTGCCAGGGTCACCAGAACTAGTATCTCCGTTGGAAGATTCTTTCCTCTATTACTGTTCTGGTGTCAACCCAAAATTTGGTATTTTATTTTACTTTCAATGATGACAGTAAACAGGAGACGTAGAGAGGGTAAATCTCTCCAGCAGGGGCACAGACAGTAATAAACACCCAACAAATGTTATAATCCCACTGCACTCTATCCAAAACTTAAAAAAAAAAAAATTGCTTTTGGGTACACTTTCAGAGCTAGTGCAAAAGTGAAGGTTGGTGAAAATAGTGAATATGGTTGGTAGATATAGGTATATCCTCCAGGAATTCAGATCTCATTTTACTGTAAAATTTGTGTTTAAACATGAATAATTTCACTAGTGGTAACGTAGTTCTAATTCAGAGCAAAGTGACAGTGTCTTCTGATAGCCGCTTGCCTTTTAGCACGTTTTACTCCCCAAACTCTTGCCACTTTGCTGCCTTCTAGCACTGTCAGAGCCCTGACTTTAGGCTTCCCTGTATGGGGAAGCCTGTGAGTATACCTTTTTTGAAGAGAGAGGGACCCTGTCTCCTGGTGGCTTATTAGACAGTGTTTAAGTTGTGGTGTATGTAAGATTTAAAACTACTGAATATTTTTATACTAAGCATTTAGGTTTTTTATTTTTCTTACGGTTTTTTTATTTTTCTTACCTTAAAGTGTTACTAAACCCACAACAGTAAAATCAGTGTGTATATGCAGTAAAGCATGTTTGTTATACTCACTGTGTAAAAAGGATATTTGATCCTTCCCTTCTACTGTACGCAATCCAACTGCTAATAGAACAGAAACTGGGACAAGCTGCACATGCTCAGTTTGGTGTGTATTGTTGGAGATTTTTTTTTTTCTTGGGAGAGTGCATGTGATCAGCACCGGGCCAATCAGCGATGTCCAGATAGAGGAGCAGGGTTTATGCAGCCTCATAGGACAGGGGTGGACAACTGTGGCCCTCCAGCTGTTGGTGAACTACAAGTCCCATCATGCCTCGCCCTTTGGGAGTCATGCTTGTATCTGTCAGTTTCGCAATGCCTCATGGGACTTATAGTTCTACAACAGCTGTAGCGCCACAGTTGCCCACCCCTGTCATAGGACAATCAGGGGAGAATGAAAACTCCTCCTGCAAGCTTTGACTAATGCTCTGCTGGACTGATCTAAGTGCTGATGAGAAAAGGTTTTAGTAGTTTATATTTACTAACATAATTGCATTTCCATGTTCTGTGTACTGTGGGAGACCAAATATAGTAAACGCAGGGTTCTGGGTTTAGGAACACGTTAAATGCTTAACAAGACACTATGTCAAAATGTAAAGAGACTAATATAGAGGAAAATAAAATTGGTAATAATTTTCAATTTATTCCTGACTTGCTGTACAAATATTACAAATTACGAACTTTTTTTTTTTAATAAAATGCTTGTCTGTATTGCAAATCTTACACTTTAATGTGTTTTATATTATTGTGGTGTTCAAAAGCTAAATAATGGTACACTGTGTATAATTGTAGGGTAACTTTTGCAGCAAATTATTGGTCTCAAACTTCTAATGAGTTTTGCCTGATTCTTATGTCTTCTACTTCTGTCTATGTAGGCTTATATGGGCAGGAAGATGTATGGCCTGCACAGTCTGTGTGTCTAACCAATGATCTCAACTACAAATCTTGAGAACACAGTGACATGTGTAGCACAGGATCCTCCACCAGTACAGAACAGGTACATGTCATTCTCAATAAGTGTGTGCGCGCTCTTTTTTCCTGAGAGTAACAGACGGGTATTTTTTTTTTTTTAAGTGCAGAAGTTTACTTAGCAATAAAGGTGATGCATAGCACTATATATATGTATCTGAAGGATGAGTTGCCTCTATTATCTTCTCCCTTTATTTCTGAACATGAACTAAAAACATTGAAGAACCTGATTGCTATGTGAACCATTCTTCAACCAGACTCGGTCACAAATGAGGGCAAATGTGACACAAACTATGATGCAGTAGAAGGCTTCTTAAAGCAGTTGTTGGGTTAAATATGTATACTGGAGATAGGGAGCTAAAAGCTTATGTGCCACAACATGCACAAAATGTGTTTTTGTTTTGTTTTTTTTTTGGGTTTTTTTTTCAGTGGCACCCAGAAGATCCTCATGTGGCATGCTCGGGGATTGGCCTGCTGCAGCAGCCTCTGAGTGGGCCACTGCTCCATACAAAAGCATTACTATTGCCTTAGGCTGTAACTGACAGCTCACTAGGCTGTCATTTAGATGCACCTGCAGACCATCCTTTTCTATTATGTGTTAGAGAGGCCTATCTGGCATGTTTAGGTGCTGGCCCTCCTCCCAGTACCAGTGCAGGCCCACCTATGACTTTAGACATCATTTTTGTGAAGGAGCGCCTCTGCCTTTTCTCTTCCTTCCCCTAGTAGAACAATTGGCTACAACATGTTTTAATTTAAATCAACTGTGTTTCTGATGGTGCAGAAATTGGGACTTATCTGAGGTCTGCAGTGTGCTGTTGTTCACTAGCGTACTAGTTTTCTAATGCACAAATTGTCTCTTGATGTGGAAAAGCTTGCCAATTCCCCAATGTAGATTGGTGACTAGAAAGTGTACAGTATTTGTGTCATAGTTATTTTAATATCTATAGGAAATTAATAAGCAAATAAATATTGTCATGGGTGGAGTTGGAATCCGAACAGAATTAACTTGATCTTCTTGGTAATAAATTCCTGTTTTATATGTAACCATTCTGTTTGTTTTAGCTTCATCAATTGGAATTCAACACGTGATGGGCAGTTTTCTGGGATGTATGGTTCTCTGGAGCTAAATGACTTTAACACTTATAGTGAAGGTAACGCATTTCTGTCTTATGTCAAAAATTCTCTGTTTTTTTTATTGGAAATGTAACCTATTATATATGCAGACTTCCAAGCAGAAAGCTTTATTCAGTTACTGTATGTATGTTTACTGTTGTACCTGCCAATTGATTTGGAACTTTGGTCAGTCATTTTTGCTATAAGTACACATCTGCCAATCAGGAAGACCACTGTTCTACTTTTGGTTAATATTTCCTGGGTTAACTTCTAGCACAGAGGTTATGATGCTGATTGAAAGAAGGTGAAGAGGTGACAGGGAGCTACAAGGTTGAACCAGCAAATAACTGTCACTTGTCTGGCTGTAGAGTGTGGAAAAGACATGTAAAGCATATGATTAGCTGACCAGAATTACAAAGCTTTAGATAGCTAAAGCAGTAAATGTGTTTTCTTTAGTTTAAAATTGAACTTTTTACTTGGAGTTTCATTGGTACTATTTACTGCAAAACATAACAACTGGCTTGTTTTAGAAGACATTGCAAAGTGCAGTGTTGATTGTGAAAAGACCAGTAACCAAGGAACGTGGCGTGACAGGTATGCCGCAACACTTTTTAAAATATTTTTATATGGCCTAACGTGTGCCATTTTCCTTATGGTGAGGAGTTTTTTTTCGGGGGGGGGGGGGGGGGTGTCTCCTGTGACTCATTCGGAGACACAAAATGGCTTCTGTGTGTATAGTCCTGCTTACTGTTGGAGGTACACAGTCCTTCATTCACTTCATGGGCCCTTTTTTAGCACAATGCTCTGCTACAAGAAAGCACACAGGTCTCTGCACTAACCTTCACTGGGTTATCCAGCAGCGTTCATTCACCGATAACCAGGAATGGCTGCATTCCTTTTCCATGGATAGAGGCTGCGAGTATCACTCTGGGATCCCCTCACCCTCATGGTAGGTGTTAGGCATACAGGAATGAGGGAGCAGAGGGTTCCTCTCTCTGCTCCAGGTACTTTGAACCTTAGTCTCCCCCACCTCAGAGTCTCCCTGTATCTCCTTGGGGACTCTCCATTCCTCCTTTTAAACTAGAGACGAATTTTCAGCCTCTATGGCAGTACTGATGGGGAATGTCTCTGCTCTCATAGAGACTTCGGAACACACAAGGGAAAGCAACCCCAGTCGGCTTCTCTTGCCATGTTTTCGACCAATTCGGCCATCAGAGCAACGTTGCTTCCTGAGGAAGATGAAAAACTAGAAGGTGAATCTTTGGGATCTGAGAATTTCTCCCAGGAGAGAATGGGCAGTCTCCCTCAATCTCTCCTGAGTTGAAAGAGGCCATTAAAATTATGTTGAATGAGGTATGCTCCTGTTTTGAAGCTTGACTCTTCCCCACCTACTGGACTTTAAGGTCACCAGTATGAAATCTTTTCAGAAAATCAAGAAACCCGCTAGTTCCTTTCCGGTTCACCCACTAGTACGGGATGTTCTTCATGAGGACTGGTCCTGGCAAAAAAGTGTATATATCTCCCAAGAGGTTTGTGTCACAGTACCCAGTGGAGGAGGGAAGAAGTGGAAGATGTTAGTGATGAATACAACTATTTCCTACCTCAACAAATCCCTTACAGTTCACCTGAGGATGTCCCATTATTCAACTTTGACAACAGGTTTGGGACCCTCCTAAAAGCCTATTGGAATTGGCCTGTTCTGTAATTGCACTGCTGCAACAAGGGGAATTTCTAGTGGCAATAGACAAAGATGTGAATATAAGAGTTCTCATTTTTCCCCCTGCACCAGCTATTTCTGTGGTTTGTGGTGGGCGAGCAGCACTTCAGTTTGTCGCCCTTCCCTTTGGCCTGTCTACTGTCCCCCCAAGTCTTCACCAATGTGCTTGCCCCTGTCCTTGCACTGCTGCGCACTGAGGAAATCCATATTATACAAATAGGACCAGCACTTCTATAATCCACACTAGCAAGCTTCAGTTGTTCACCAACATGCAAGACTCAAAGCAGGAAGTCAGGTGACGAAACTGGTTGGGAAGTGAGGTCAAGCTGTAACTAGAAGAGCCTCGTCCACCATTTTGGTTTCCGGTCTCTCATTGATTTCTATACATGTAGCAAGGAATAAAAGGTTTTTGCTGTATTTGGCTGCGCTATGGTTGGTGTTTATGCTTTTTACATGGTCCTTAATTCTAATGAGGAGAACACCTTTGAGGATGTTAAGCTGAAATAATGAATTTGTTCAATATCACTGAGAGCAAGCCCGGTGACATGTGGGCATACACTCTAGTAATGTACATAAATCAAACTTTCACTTTTTAATACTTGGTTGCAAATCCTTTGCAGTCAATTACAGCCTGAAGTCTGGAACGCATAGACATCACCAGACGCTGGGTTTCATCCCTGGTGATGCTCTGCCAGGCCTCTACTGCAACTGTCTTCAGTTCCTGCTTGTTCTTGGGGCATTTTCCCTTCAGTTTTGTCTTCAGCAAGTGAAATGCATGCTCAATCGGATTCAGGTCAGATGATTGACTTGGCCATTGCATAACATTTCACTTCTTTCCCTTAAACTCTGATTGCTTTTGCAGTATGCTTTTGGGTCATTGTCCACACTGTGAAGCTGCGTCCACTGAGTTCTGAAACATTTGGCTGAATATGAGCAGATAATATTGCCCGAAACACTTCAGAATTCATCCTGCTGCTTTTGTCAGCAGTCACATCATCAATAAATACAAGAGAACCAGTTCCATTGGCAGCCATACATGCCCACGCCATGACACTACCACCACCATGCTTCACTGATGAGGTGGTATGCTTAGGATCATGAGCAGTTCCTTTCCTTCTCCATACTCTTCTCTTCCCATCACTCTGGTACAAGTTGATCTTGGTCTCATCTGTCCATAGAATGTTGTTCCAGAACTGTGAAGGCTTTTTTAGATGTCATTTGGCAAACTCTAATCTGGCCTTCCTGTTTTTGAGGCTCATCAGTGGTTTACAGCTTGTGGTGAAACCTCTGTATTCACTCTGGTGAAGTCTTCTCTTGATTGTTGACTTTGACACACATACACCTACCTCCTGGAGAGTGTTCTTGATCTGGCCAACTGTTGTGAAGGGTGTTTTCTTCACCAGGGAAAGAATTCTTCGGTCATCCACCATTAAGGATTGGTACCTGTGGACAGCTAGGGTTAGCGGGTACCTGAAATTGACAGGTACCTGCTCCCACTTTTCGCTGCGATCCCCTAGGCGTTCAGAAGCAGCAGTTCCCCCAACACACGCCCACCCCCCTTTCTTCCCCATAGTCTTCTGGGATACGTGACAGGTCCCAGAAGATTATGGGACCATTCAGAAAGCGCAGTGCCACTTGCACAAGCTGTCACAGCCGGGTGCCCACACTGAAGGCTGTGGGGGGAACACAGCTGAATCGAGGGACAGGTGAGTGGCTTTTTTTTTTTTAAAAGTTAGCAGCTACAGTTTTTGTAGCTGCTGACTTTTATTTTTTTTCACAGTGTGTTTTAATTTAACAGGTTTGAGCACATTTTTGCATATGCAAGTACCTTTATTTCATATACTTGTCCATTTGTAAATCAGGATTACCTGTGTGTGGGTGGGTGGAGAGGGGAAGAGAGATTTTGGTATGTGGATCTGGAGAGTGCATTACACTGGATGGTGCACAATGGATATTCACACAGATATGTGAGCACTTTACTATAAGAGAGATTGATTGTATGGTGTATGTGGACATATTACACTATATAGCTATTTTTTGTTTTGGGAACACTACCCTGGAACATGTGAGATAGAAGACATCCACTTACCTTGGAACATGAGAGCATTATTTGACCCCTTCTGTTGCAGGGCCATATAGTCCAGTGAAAGAAGGAAAAAGGTTGCACTGCTCAGGAAGAAGTGTACCTGACTTTTATCTTGTTCATGTTCTGACCCTCTCCACTGTGCACATTTCCGGCATGGAAAATTAGCAGCAAACATTCTGGGCCATTGGCAGCTGAGTGCACGATAATGGGCGCTCCATCCAAGAGGTGTTGACATAGATTATATGTGCTGGGTGACTCCAGTTGTGGATCACTTGGCATTCATATTCAACAACAAACTGGACAGGTTTTGTGTCCCAAACCGGGGATCCTCAGGTGTTGGATACCTTGATGACTCCTTGGGATCAGTTTTCCCTTTATAAATGCTTTTCCTCCACTTCAGCTGTTTCATCGTCTGTTGCGCAGGATAAAGTTGGAGGGCATTGAAGAACCTGTTATGCCGATATCGTAAATTTGTTGGCCAATGAGCTGTCGGATCTTCCAGATCAGCTAGGTTGTGGATGCAGATTCCGATCTTTCATCCTTCTTTACGGTCATTGGCTTTGATGGCACGGCTGTTAAAGCCCAAGTCATGAGGGACAGGCATGTTCTGATTCTAACTCCTATGCACTTCAGGGCTAGAATGTTAACCTCCAGGAAGGTGTATCATCATACATGGAAAGCTTTTTTTTTTTTTTTTTTTTTCAGCTGGTGTGAAGCTCATACTTAGCAGTATGGCATGTGTATTTTGCCTTTTCTCCAGTCAGGTGTGGTGATTCCTCTGGCTTTTAGTCCAGATCTAAGCCTTGGCCTTCCTGTTTCACATACCTATAGTGTCTCATTCCTTGATTAAAGGCTTTGTGCAGGGCATTGCCCATATTGTTCCGCCTGTTCAGCCCCCTTTGTGTCTGTGGTATCTTAACTTGGTCTTTTTGTTTAGCAGACTTCTGCTTTTGGTCCTCTCTGAGAGAGCCTTGTTTTTCCTTACACAGATAGTCTTCTGGAGACCATTGCCTTGGCTTGCAGGGTCTCAGTTTGGCTGCGCTTTCCTGGGTCTTCACCAGGATAAGTTGGTGTTTGGGGCCTACAGTATCTCACAGAAGTGAGTACAGCCCTCACATTTTTTGTAAATATGTGATTCTATCTTTAGGGAGCAGGTGTGTTAAATTTGGTGTTATCGCTCTCACTCTCTCATACTGGTCACTGGAAGTTCAACATGACACCTCATGGCAAAGAACTCTCTGAGGATCTGAAAAAAAGAATTGTTGCTCTACATAAAGGTGGCCTAGGCTATAAGAAGATTGCCAAGACCCTGAAACTGAGCTGCAGCACAGTGGCCAAGACCATTTATTTTGAGGGGACAGCAAATTTACACTGTTATGCAAGCTGTACTCTCACTACTTTACATTGTAGCAAAGTATCAATTCTTCAGTGTTGCCACATGAAAAGATATAATAAAATATTTACAAAAATGTGAGGGGTATACTCACTTCTGTGAGATACTGTTGGTTCTTCTCTTTTTGTATGGTCAAGTTCATCTGAGGTCTACAACTGCATTTCCAAAGTCTGAGAGTCCTTGTTGGGTTCCTTCTCGATCCATTATTTACAGGTTGATTCTTCAGTACCTCTGCATATTCCAGTTTTGGGTGGAAGACTTTGCAGGCGATCTTTGTAGGTGGGGTTCCACCTTTCCTGTTTTATGTTTAGGTGGTGGTAGGCCTTGTTGCTGTGTTGCCCACCCCTTGTGTTCATATTCATGACTACCTGGGATGTCCCAAAGCACTGAACTCCTGTGTGTCCTGTGATGTACAATTTAAGAAATTGGGATTTTTGGTTTACCTCTGAAATCCATTTCTTGGAGTATATCACAGTACACAAAGTTCCCTCTCCTTCCGTCTGTATTGCACATTGCTTGCTTCAAAACTGAGGATTAGCTGATTTGGGAGGAGTTATGTCTGGGCAAGGATTCCTGCCTTTTGTGTCTGTTCACCTGAAGGTGGCAGCATATCCCAAGTAGTCATGAATATGAACTCTGCCCTGTGATGTACTCCAAGAAAAGGTTTGAACAGGTAACCAAAAATCCAAATGCCTCTTGCAGTGCCATATATTTGCATGGAGAAAACTATATGTCAATACATATCTGTGGTTCAGCTGGTTCGCTAAAAACGATGTGGGACTCCCTTTCATTGGCTGAGACAGTCAATCATAGCCATTCAGCCAATGAGGATAAAAGAGGGGGGCAGGGCCAAGCCATGGCTCCCTGTGTGAATGGACACATGGAGCAACGGGTGCCTCCATAGCAAGCTGCTTGTTGTGGGGGCACCCGACTATAGGGAGGGGCTAGGAGTGCCAGAGAGGACCCGAGAAGAGGAGGATCCAGGCTGCTCTGTGCCAAACCACTGCACACAGCAGGTAAGTATAGCAATGTTAAAAAAAAAAAAAAAAAAAGCCTTTAGAATCACTTTAAGCAGGGAGACAGAGAGATTGTAGTAGAATACACAACTCCGGGTGATTAATCTGCACATTTCCATGCAGGGGCGGACTGACAACTCATGGGGCCCCCGGGCAATAGGGGATCATGGGGCCCCTGTGTCCTTGCCCAAACTCAAAAAAAGCCTATGAAAAAGGTACCAGGGGCATCTCAATGGGCCCCCTACTGACCCCGGGCTCTCGGGTAGTGCCCGAGTTTCCAAATGGTCAGTCCGCCCCTGTTTCCATGCAATACAATAGAAAAAATTAAGAGAAGCCATGTAACAATGAAAGTTCTCCAGTAATAATCACAAATATGTGTTTACTGATACTATACTAAGCTTTCCCTCTAATAACCAAACTGGATTGAGAAATGAAACTGTTGCTTTCCTCCTATTTCACAAGAAGTAGAACTACGTTTGCATGACATTCAGGGCAGCAGTTCCACAGTTAATCAGTTGTCTCTACGTGCCTGATTTGCAAACAAGGTTTTGAAAGATTTGTTTCAAAAATGACTTGGTTTTTGTTATGGTTAAAAATTGTATGTGGAGGAAGTGAGAATGGGATATTTGTCGGTCTGAAGTCTTGATGTTCTGTTCTGTATAGGTGGAGTGGTGTTGAAAAGATAAGACCGTTCTTTCTGTATGATAACCACTTGAGGCCCCAGTGTCATTTAAAACATATAGTGGATATTTGTCTCAGTGCTTTTTGAAACCGGAGCCCGGTGGGGATGCAGTCTAGAACCACCACCTGCAGTCTACAATCCATCACTAAGGACTCGTTTACACTTGCAGTTAAAGGCGTTAAAAAAAACAGTTGTGCCGTGTTTTTACTGCCTCCCAACCGATCCCTCTTACACCACAGAGGGAAACAGATGGGGTATACACATGCCGTGGCCACGATGCTTTGCGTCAAGAATTAAAATCCCCTTCCCATTTGGTGTCGTGACCCATTTAAGTGAGTGGCGCTATGCTGCAGTCGATTGCAATGCTTGTGGTGCAGCATTTATTATGGGGCTAAAAACAGGAGGTGAGGAAATGTCATATCTCATCCTTACTACCTGTAAAACGCCCCTGTAAAGATATCAGACTGCAGATCACTTTTCAGAGGCCTGACAGTAACAGCCATAAATGTAGCCTAAGCCCAAGAGTTGAAGTGATCCGCTCCTGGCCATCCAATGTTTTTTGTTCAAAACCGCCACTTGTAGGTCATCTTGGATAGAGTAAGGGAGGGTTTTAACCCTTGTCAGGTTTTGTTTTTTTTTTTTTTGTTTTTTTTCAGTCCATGTCCCATTGGGGGAGATTTCCCTTCACTTCCTGTCCCATATCCAAAACAGGTAGTTAGGGGGAAATCATCTACATCTTATTTTTTCTTTAAACTGCTAGAGTCTTGTCTCTTGTGATTGCAATTATTTGGTGCAGCCACCCCCTGCCTGCTTTTTGGAGTTTTGCATCTGGACTTTGGTGCTCTTTACATTTCTGCAATGCTTGCGCTGCCTATAAAGACTCGCTTAGTCTTAGGTTCCACCCCAGAGGTTGTCTACACTATGGGACTGAGCACTGAAGTCATCAGCTGAATGGAGTGTCGTGCGCACTCCATGCTCTTTCCCTTCTTGCAGCATTGAGGAAGGATCTTCTCACTGGTATTATATAAGAGCTTCACTATTTTTTTCTTTTTGTTTGCACTCACTGGTATTCCTGCTTGTGAAAATCCACATGGAACTTCTCTCTGTTCCTGCTTGCCCAATTACAGTATTTTTGGTCGCTTGCAGCCATCTGACCTTTTCTGCTAGCAGCTGTCTGGGTTTTGTGAGTGGCTGAGGCCTTGCCTCATACCCTGAACCTTATGTTGCATTACTGCTACATGGCCGTAACAGGTCTGATTCTGACACTGTACCTGGTGCCATCTTCTATTTCCATTTTCTCCAGGCTCTACCTGGTAGCCCTTTTGGGCATCTGATGTCTGCTTCAGGTCCTTTAGGTCATTCAAGTCAGCCTATTTTGACTGCAGGCAGTCCTCAGTTTTTGGTCATTTGCCTGTTAGCTTTTTGCTGTGTTAAACTGCAATTGGATGTCAAAGAATTTGTTCCTCTATGGATGAGAAAAAAAAAGAAAGAAAATTAGGATTTTTGTGCTCAATTTAATTACATTCAGACACACAAGTTGCTAACCTGTATTTATGTTAATGCTCTCAGTACTACTTGACAACGAAACTGAGATATGCTGGTAGTGGGTGGGATTATTCTGTGCTGGCTAAAGGTTTTTTTTTATTATTATACTGCCCCCTACTGGAGAAAGACAAAAAAAAAACAAAACAAACAATGTAGAATCCCTTATTGGACTCCCAAGAAAAATATTTTTGTTTTTTTTTTTTTCTGGCGAGTACAAAATTTCTATTCATTATACCTTGAAGCAGATTATCAGAAGGCACCCGTTTTTTGCTGTGTGCACAGAAGGAAATAGTAATAACTGTCATTTTGGAGAGGTTTGCTTTACTATCAAATAGCTGCCATGATCACATGACTGGGAACCATAGTCCAGTCTGACAGCTAGCAGGGTGCAGAGTATGTTGCTAGCTGTCAATTGTGGGACAGTAATAATCTACAGATTGACTCCGGACTGTTAAATAATACATTAACCGTTAATACATTGCCTCTTAAGATCTTTGCCTAATTGTGGGTGAATTTTGCTATTGTGCTGCCTGAACTATTATTCTATTTCAATTTCTTACAGTCCATGGTTTTAAGTTTGACATAATTAGAGTGTGACAATACTGTGCTGTTCTTCCAGAAAACATGAACTACCACAATGGCTTTTCATGCCCTGAAGTCCAGAATCCGGCTTTCATTGATCATTGTCAGTCTACCTGGAATATGAACCCACCAGAAGTGCCACCACCCCCTCCACCCGCACCCTCCATGCCAAACTCCTGGGAACCAGCCAGTTATGTTAGCACTTCTGTAAGTAAATGCCACTAGGATACTCTTCTTTCAGAATTATCATTATATTCTATACCGATTACTTTGCATTTGAACCCCTTCATTTTTTTTTTTTTTTTTATAAACTAAAGGCTGTTATTTTCACTATAGGGTGGTAACAATTTTATGTTCACACGAGCTCGCGCACACGTCCAGTCGCAAGTGTTTTTTTTTTTTTTTGTTAGTTTTCCTTTTGAAATAAAGCATTAAAAACATCAGTCTGTTACAATGTGACTGTTGCGAACTTCCTATTGTATCAACAATAATGAAATCAAGCAGCACTCAGATTTTACAATAATTAGATAACAAGTGTGTGCGCCTGAGGTTAAGAGACAAAGACTAACCTTAGACCTAAGTTTACATAGCCCTTCAGAGATTGTATGCAGAGATTAACATAGCGGAAAGAAACCGCTATTCATTAATAGTGCCATTAGCCTCTTTTGCATGTTTCAAACATTTTTAACACCATAGAACAAGAAAAACATGCCCCGACCAAGAAACCATCCAGGGGCCACTGTCCCTAAACAGGTGAGGATATTATAGTATAAATTGGAAGTGTGATTTTTAAGCCCTACCTTTTCTATCATTATACCTCACCTTCCGTTTCCACATGCCGATTTGTATAACGAGTCCAAAACTTGCTATAGATATATTCCAATGCAGCCTCATTAAAGCGGAGCTCCACCCAAAAGGGGAAGTTCCGCTTTAAGGACTGCTCCCCATTAAGGATTGGCACCTTTTGGGGGGCGGGTACTTGAATTTGACAGGTACCCGCTCCCACTTCCAGTCCAATTACCTAGGTGATCGGAAGCAGAAGGTGTCCTCCCTCCCTCCCTGTAGTCTTTTGGGACACGTGACAGGTCCCAGAAGACTACAGGACCATTCATGCAGCGCTACTCGCGCATACGCAGTGGGTACCCGGCTGTGAAGCCTCAAGCTATCACAGCCGGGTGCCCACATTGAAGATGCCAGCCTCCTGGAATACAGGATGGTTGGTGAAACAGAATGTGGGGGACACACTACGGGACCAAGGGACAGGTAAGTGGCTGTCTTTTTAAAAGTCAGCAGCTACAGTTTTTGTAGTTGCTGACTTTTATTTCCTGACAGGGTGAGTGGAACTCTGCTTTAAGTGACAATCCTAGTGGCCAACATAGCATTTTGTAAATCGCTTATTTTTTAGAGCACATGCAATAAATGTCAAATGTTTCTACCATACTTCTCTGACTTAGATTTTAATATTTGTGCATTTACAGCCATACCTCTCCAGCACTAGAAGTTTGTCTCCAATGTCTGGACTGTTTTGGATCCATCTGGGCTCCACAGAATGACGTATTTGATGGTTTTCTGCCCTGTTAGTGGCTCCCCTCCACATTCTGACCATATTGGAAGTCACTCCATGATGTGCAAGCAGGAGTATTCTTCCAGATTCAATCCTTTCCATGCCTATATGAATCTGGACATTTGGACATCTGCTAACAGAAATGCAACATATCCCGTGTCGAGGGACTCTGGCTACTGTGGGAATATGTGAACAGGATATGCGTGCAAAGCAATGTGATTAGTTGTATGTGCGGTTTTTGGTCACTAGAGTGAGCAAGTCGTTGGAATAGGATACAATGTTGGTGAATATTTTGGCACTTTTTATATATTGATAATAAATTTTCTTTTTTTTTTTTTTTTCTTTTTTTTTTTTTTACTGACCCATGTTTCTGTCTTTTATTTATTTGTGTGTCTGAAAAGGTTTTACCATATCATTATAATAAATAGGCTACCTAAATGCTATGCACATTACGACACTGCAATGGACCACTTCAGTGTACATGGACCCTGATAGCAAAAAGCCTGATACTAGAGCTATAGGAACAGTTGTCAACTAGAATAAGCACACTCCCCATATGTAGGTTGTGTCTGCTTGAACCTCAATGTGCTCTGAGCATTTGATTAATAAAATGCCTCAAATGAAAATACTGATGACATATAACTATACTGTATACGTGACAGTGTTATTAAACAAATGCTCCAAAACAATAATACCCAATTTTGCGTAAGGTGAGTCCACTACCAATATATAGTCCACTATAAATCTTATACAAAAAAAATGTCCCATATTCTTCCAGCGATATTCCAAAACACAGTCCACCTCAAAAAAAGGAAAACTCATATAGTGCATTATCCTTTATAAAATTATATATTTAAACTTTATCTGTGCTTCCTATAGTGAAAATACGTGAAAAAAATAGTGAAAAAACGTGAACCACACGTGATCCGTGAAAAACCACTTCAGTGTACACAACACTCTTTCAGTGCCATATCACAGAAAATCCAATACTAAAAATGTGTACACTTCTAGATGCAGTAAGGGTACCCTTACCAACTTTCCCAATATAATAGGCTTTATAACAATCCAGGAACTTCTCAGGCTGATCCACTCAGGAACCTCTGCTGTGTCCCGCAGCCACCCCACTCTCTGGATTCCTCAGACACTCTGCTCACAGTGTCACCAAGAAAACATAGAGGACATAGTGTGATACCGCCAATAAAATTAATAATAAACATTTTATTTGTAACTGCTCACATTGCCAAAGCTTAAACAATGCGTTAGAGGGAGTTCAGAAGGTGTAAGGATCTCATGGTCATCCAGGGAGACACGTCCCGTCGCTCCTGCTCGATCTCTCCCTTATCTAAAATGGCCGCCAGGTAACTTCCGGTTTCCGGGAAAACGTCTTAACGTCACTCCGCCTTGACGCGTTTCGTCATCGACTAAGTCGATGACGAAACGCGTCAAGGCGGAGTGACGTTAAGACGTTTTCCCGGAAACCGGAAGTTACCTGGCGGCCATTTTAGATAAGGGAGAGATCGAGCAGGAGCGACGGGACGTGTCTCCCTGGATGACCATGAGATCCTTACACCTTCTGAACTCCCTCTAACGCATTGTTTAAGCTTTGGCAATGTGAGCAGTTACAAATAAAATGTTTATTATTAATTTTATTGGCGGTATCACACTATGTCCTCTATGTTTTCTTGGTGACACTGTGAGCAGAGTGTCTGAGGAATCCAGAGAGTTGGGTGGCTGCGGGACACAGCAGAGGTTCCTGAGTGGATCAGCCTGAGAAGTTCCTGGATTGTTATAAAGCCTATTATATTGGGAAAAAGTTGGTAAGGGTACCCTTACTGCATCTAGAAGTGTACACATTTTTAGTATTGGATTTTCTGTGATATGGCACTGAAAGAGTGTTGTGTACACTGAAGTGGTTTTTCACGGATCACGTGTGGTTCACGTTTTTTTCACTATTTTTTCACGTATTTTCACTATAGGAAGCACAGATAAAGTTTAAATATATAATTTTATAAAGGATAATGCACTATATGAGTTTTCCTTTTTTTTGAGGTGGACTGTGTTTTGGAATATCGCTGGAAGAATATGGGACATTTTTTTGTATAAGAGTTATAGTGGACTATATATTGGTAGTGGACTCACCTTACGCAAAATTGGGTATTATTGTTTTGGAGCATTTGTTTAATAACACTGTCACGTATATAGTTTGGTACACTTTCAGGGGAAGGTGTTGATTGTGTTATAGGGTAATCATATTAGGAAGGAGGTGGTTGATGTTTAATTATATAACTATACTGCCCCTAATATACAAGGCAGGCTAAAATACTAAAAATTTTACACTTTTACAAGTAGTTTTGTTGGCCTAACCTTTCTCAAACAGGGTGCTGTCTGAGTTCATTGGGGGTATTGCAGCTTCCTGCTTGAGAAAAGCAAACTGTTGCCTTAGTCAAGCTTGCACTCTGCAGACATACATTTCTTTGCTTCTCTACTTCCACTTTCTAATGGTTTGTAAAGGGAGGCAGCAAAGCTCGGAAACTGTGTGTCTGCAGGGTTGGACCTTAATCAGGGCAACTGTAATGTACAGAGAGTTGTGCATAGGGGAGGATTCTTCCTGAGTCCTGACATGCTCTGCCTACCATGCAAAGGAAAACTGGCCTAAGAGGTTTAAAAATGGGAGTGGTGGTATACTGGCTTTATACAAAGAGTTGCAAGTGTGATGCCGAGGCATGGGAAATGTGGGTCCATTGATCCCCATCAAGGAAACTGGGTCTGTAAAGATTTTTGAACAGTTGAGAATATAGCAGTCTAAAATTGAAGGCATTTGACTTTAGGTGGTTTATGTGAAGACTCAAAAGAGATGCAAATTGTGTGTGTATGGATGTATGTGTGTGTGTGTATGTGTATGTATGTATGTATATATGTATATATTATATATATATATATATATATATATACTCACAGAAGTGAGTACATCCCTCACATTTTTGTAAATATTTTATTATATCTTTTCATGTGATAACACTGAAGAAATGACACTTTGCTACTATGTAAAGTAGTGAGTGTACAGCTTGTATAACAGTGTAAATTTGCTGTCCCTTCAAAATAACTCAACACACAGCCATTAATGTCTAAACTGCTGGCAACAAAAGTGAGTACACCCCTAAGTGAAAATGTCCAAATTTGGCCCAGAGTGTCAATATTTTGTGTGGCCACCAGAGTTTCACAGGTTGCCACTGGAGTCCTCTTCCATTCCTCCATGATGACATCACGGAGCTGGTGGATGTTAGAGACCTTGCACTCCTCCACCTTCCATTTGAGGATGCCACAGATGCTCAATAAGGTTTAGGTCTGGAGACATGCTTGGCCAGTCCATCACCTTTTACCCTCAGCTTCTTTAGCAAGGTAGTGGTCGCCTTGGAGGTGTGTTTGGGGGTCGTGATGTTGGAATACGGCACTGCAGCCCAGTCTGAATGGAGGGGATCATGATCTGCTTCAGTATGTCACATTACATGTTGGCATTCATGGTTCCCTCAATGAACTGTAGCTCCCCAGTGCCGGCAGCACTCATGCAGCCCCAGACCATGACACTCCCACCACCATTCTTAACTGTAGGCAAGACACACTTGTCTTTGTACTCCTCACCTGTTGCTGCCACACACGCTTGACACCATCTGAACAAAATCAGTTTATTTTGCTCTCAGTAGACCACAGGACATGGTTCCAGTAATCCATGTCCTTAGTCTGCTTGTCTTCAGCAAACTTTCTTGTGCATCATCTTTGGAAGAGGCTTCCTTCTGGGACAACAGTGATGCAGACCAGTTGGATGCAGTGTGCGGCATATGGTCTGAGCACTGAAAGGCTGACCCCCCACCCCTTCAACCTCTGCAGCAATGCTGGCAGCACTCATCCAGAGGTTGTCTTTGGGAAATAGATGTATATGACGCTGAGCACGTGCACTCAACTTCTTTGGTCGACAATGGCGAGGCCTGTTCTGAGTGGAACCTGTCCTGTTAAACCGGTGTATGTTCTTGGCCACCGTGCTGCAGCTCAGTTTCAGGGTCTTGGCAATCTTCTGATAGCCTAGGCCAAGGGTAGGCAACCTGAGAGCCGCAGGACTACAAGTTCCATCATGCCTCTGCAAGTCATAGCTGGAACTGTCAGTTTTGTAATCTTTGCAATGCCTCATGGGAAATGTAGTTCCACAACAGCTAGCGAGCCGCAGGTTGCCTACCCCTGGCCTAGGCCATCTTTATGTAGAGCAACAATGCTTTTTTCAGATCCTCAGAGAGTTCTTTGCCATGAGGTGCTGTTTTGAACTCCCAGTGACCAGTATGAGAGAGTGAGAGCGATAACACCAAATTTAACACACCTGCTCCCCATTCACACCTGAGACCTTGGAACACAAACGAGTCACATGATACCGGGGAGGGAAAATGGCTAATTGGGTCCAATTTGGACATTTTCACTTAAGGGGGTGTACTCACTTTTGTTGCCAGCGGTTTAGACATTAATGGCTGTGTGTTGAGTTATTTTGAGGGGACAGCAAATTTACACTGTTATACAAGCTGTACACTCACTGCTTTACATTGTAGCAAAGTGTCATTTCTTCAGTGTTGTCTAATGATAGAATCAAATATTGAGAAAAATGTGAGGGGTGTACTCACTTCTGTGAGATGCTGTCTGTGTATGTATGTTTATATATACATATTTATTTATCTAAGGAAATATATTTCTAAAGCTGCTATTGACATGAAATTTTCACCACGTCGGTAACAACCCATGCAATCCATACACAAAGATACCAAATCAAAGAAGTTCAGAATCTAAGTTTTATGTGTAATAAAAATGAAACGAGACAGGGAAAAAGCATTGAACATGCTAACTGAAATTTTAATACTTTGTACAAAGTATTATGTTGGTAATGACAGTTTCAGGATGCCTCCTGTATGGAGAAATTAGTTGCATGTATTGCTCAGGTGTAATTTTTGGCCCATTCTTCCTCACACTCTTCAAATCTTGAAGGTTCTGTGGGCCTCTTCTATGAACTATTATCTTTAGTTCTTTCCATAGATTTTCTGTTGGGTTCAATCAGGTGACTGGCAAGGCCATTTTAACCGCTTTGTTTTCTTTCTTTGAAAATATTGTCTTGCTGAAATGTCCACCTTCTTTTCATCTTCATCGTCCGGGTAGATGGCAGCATATTTTTTTTATCAAGAATGTCTTGGTACATTTTTCCATTCATCCTTCCTTCAATAAAATGAAGTTTGCCAGTACCATATGCTGAAAAACAGCCCCACACCATGATGTTCCCACCTTCAACCTTCACTGTTGGTATGGTGTTTTTGGGGTGGTGTGCAGTGCCATTTGACCTCCAAACAAGGTGTATTATGGCATCCAAAGAGCTCAATTTTGGTCTCATCTGACCAGACTATATTCTCCCAGTATTTCACAGGCTTGGCTAAATGTTGTGCAGCAAACTTTAAATGAGCTTCAACATGCTTTTTCGTCAGCAATGGAGTCTTGTGTGGTAAGCGTGCATACAGGCCATGGTGGTTAAATACATTACTTATTGTTTTCTTTGAAATAATTGTACCTGCTAATTCCATGGTCTTTCTGAAGCTCTGCACAAGTGGTCCTTGGCTCTTGGACAACTCTTCTGATAATTCTTTTCCATTCTGTCAGAAATCTTGCGAGGAGCACTTTGTCGTGGCGGGTTTATGGTGAAATGATGTTCTTTCCACTTCCGGATTATGGCTCCAACAGTGCTCACTGGAACATTCAGGAGTTCAGTAATCCTTCTGTAACCAATGCCATGTATTGCAACAATTAGGTTGCAAAGGTCTTAAGAGAGCTCTTTGCTTTTACTTATCATGAGATGTGACACCTTGGTAATGATACCTTTTTTATAGTGCTTTATCAGTTGAGACTGAACCAGCTGATATTAATTTGCACTGATGAGGGGCAGGATTGCTTTCTAATTACTGATAGATTTCAGCTGGTGTCTTGGCTTCCCATGCCTTTTTGCGTCTCCCTTTCTTCATGTGTGCAATACCTTTTTCCCTGTGTTATTCCATCTTTTTTGCAAATAACTTGATTTCTGAACTTATTTATTTTGGTTTCTTTGTATGTATGAATCGCCTGGGTTGTTACCGACATGGTGAACATTTCTTGTCAATAGCACCTTTAGAAATATATTTACCTAGGAAAATGATGACGTGTTCAACACTTATTTTACCACCCAAAAAAAGAATATTACTAAAATAGTGTTGTACTGCAACACTAAACCACTCTACCTCTGAAACTAATACTCACATTTTAAGTGAGCTCACAACGTGCCTATCCTTTTGACCAACTGTAAGTCCACCATGTGCAGTGTGCTTCTTCCAATCACTCTATGCACCTTACCAGATTGTAACTATTTGTGTGTATCCAGTTAACCGCTTCCACCCCTCCCTATGGCAGAAATACTGCTACAGGGCAGCACGGGTGCACAAAATAACGTGTATATATATGTGATTTTGCAGCTTTGGGTAGGGTGTGTGCACTCTGCATAGCAGAGCCATACAAAGCAGTGTGCTTAGAGTGTAAAGCGCACACTGAAAACAGCACACAGTTAACCCTTTGTCCCAGATACTGACCACTTCATGCTCAGTGCCATTAGTACAATGTCAGTGTTTTTTTTTTATTAGCACTGATCACTGTATTGGTGTCACTGGGGATGTCGGTGACACCAAGTCAGTTCCCCCCCAGAGTTAGAATGCCTGCTGCAGTCCTGATATAAGTTGCAGATCGCTGCCATTACTAGTAAAAAAAAAAAAAAATACAGTATATCGCCATTTGTAAACGCTATAACTTTCACATAAACCAATTACTTTACACGTATTAGGATTTTTCTTTAGCAAAGACGTAGCAGAATCCATTTTGGCCTAAATTTATGTTGAAATTAGATTTTTTTTTTATTTTTGTTACTGGATATGTTTTATAGCAAAAAGTCATAAATATAGTGTTTGTTTTTTCAAAATTGTAGGTCTTTTTTTTGTTTATAGCACAAAAAATAAAAAACGCACAAGTGATCAAATACCGAAAGAAAGCTATTTGTGGGGAGAAAAAAATGGACATAAATTTCATTTGGGTGCAGCATTGCATGACCGCGCAATTGTCAAAGTAACGCTGCACGATATTGCAAAAATGGCCTGCTCAGGAAAGGGGGTAAATCCTCTGGAGGACAAATGGTTAATCCCTTCTTCAGAATCCACCTCCCACTCAATATACAGACGTATAGCAGAATGATACATTGCCAAAGGCAAGAAAAAGTATGTAGTGCAATATTGCTTTATAAATTATTCATAATAATGATAAATCCACTCATATTTATTCTGCAACTCTTGTGCATCCCTTCATACCCCTGTGAAAAGTGTATCCAATACCAGGAGACACTCCATGCACCTTATCAGACACAAGTATGTAGGTTCTCATTATACTTTTCTTCACACCAAGGTCTATAAAAACACAGAACACCAAGGGTCGACTGGAACAAACACAGTGCAGTCAGTCATTTAAATCTGTGTGTCCCTGACAAAAAAAAATATGAAAAAAAAAAAAAGTACCTAAAATTGTCCTTAGGCGATGCTTTAAAAGCCTTCACCAGTAACAGTGCATTATGGCCCTATACATATTGCTCTAACTGGCATGCATGTCCATACCACATATATACCACATCTTTGCATATACAGGTGAAACTCGAAAAATTTGAATATTGTGCAAAAGTTCATTTATTTCAGTAATGCAACTTAAAAGGTGAAACTAATATATGAGATAGACTCATTACATGCAAAGCAAGATAGTTCAAGACGTGATTTGTCATAATTGTGATGATTATGGTTTACAGCTCATGAAAACCCCAAATCACAATCTCAGAAAATTAGAATATTACATGCAATCAATAAAACAAGGATTGTACATAGAACAATATCGGACCTCTGAAAAGTATAAGCATGCATATGTACTCAGTACTTGGTTTGGGCCCCTTTTGCAGCAATTACTGCCTCAATGCGGCGTGGTATGGAAGCTATCAGCCTGTGGCACTACTCAGGTTATGGAAGACCAGGATGCTTCAATAGCAGCCTTCAGCTCTTCTGCATTGTTCGGTCTCATGTCTCTCATCTTTCTCTTGGCAATGCCCATAGATTCTCTATGGGGTTCGGGTCAGGCGAGTTTGCTGGCCAAACAAGCACAGTAATCCAACGGTCATTGAACCAGGTTTTGGTGCTTTTGGCAGTGCGGGCAGGTGCCAAGCCCTGCTGGAAAATTAAGTCAGCATCCCCATAAAGCTCGTCTGCAGAAGGAAGCATGAAGTGCTCCAAAATCTCCTGGTAGATCGCTGTGTTGACCCTGGACTTAATGAAGCACAGTGGACCAACGCCAGCAGGTGACTTCAAGCATCTTGCAGTGTGTGCCTCTCCATTCTTCCTCCATACTCTGAGTCCTTAGTTTCCAAATGAGATGCAAAAGTTGCTCTCACCAGAAAAGAGGACTTTGGACCACTGAGCAGCAGACCAGGTCTGTTTTTATTTAGCCCAGGTAAGACACTTCTGATGTTTCTTGTTCAGGAGTTGCTTGACAAGAGGAATACGACATTTGAAGCCCATGTCCAGGATCCGTCTGTGTGTGGTAGCTCTTGATGCACTGACTCCAGCCTCAGTCCTCTCCTTGTGAAAGTCCCCAACACTTTTGAATGGCCTTTTCCTGACCAACCTCTCCAGGCTGCAGTCATCCCTGCTGCTTGTGCACATTTTTCTTCCACACTTTTCCCTTCTACATAACTTTCTATTAATGTGCTTTGATACAGCACTTTGGGAACATCCAACTTCTTTTGCCATTACCTTTTGAGGCTTTCCTCCTTATGGAGGGTGTCAATGATAGTTTTCTGCACAACTGTCAGGTCAGCAGTCTTTCCCATGATTGTGATTCCTACTGAACCAGACTGAGAGACCATTTAAAGGCTCAGGAACCCTTTGCAGGTGTTATGGCTTAATTAGCTGATTAGAGTGGGACACTTTGAGCCTAGAATATT